GGAACGCAGCTATGCTACAAGGGCACAGTGTAGTGACAGCTGTTCTTAGTTAGCATTAAAAAATGCTTCTGTAAGACACTGAAAGCAAGTGACTGAACCAGCTCAAAACCTTTTAAGTTGCTCTCTGTCCTGCTTGCCTGGCCTTTAGATCCAGTTACATGCTGCACATACACTCTAAACATTCCTTTTAAAGGATTATGAGCTCTATATAAACAGCCTTCAGATTGGTGGTGTTTCAGGAACAAGCAGAATTCACTTCTTGCTCTCCTAGCACCGTAATTCAATTTAAACGTTTCCTCCCTTAGCTTTTACCACAACTTAGGATGGAATAGTCCTTACTGAAAGAAATGAGGCAGCAGATGCTGCAGAGGGGTAAACTTACAAAGTTAACAGTACCTGCTGCAGTTTCCATTGCTTGTCTTCCCGGAATGTAAAATGCAGGAGCTGATTACTTCTGGGCATTTTCAAATTAAGGTCCTTGAAGAAAGAAGCAAACACATCAGAGCAAGCAATCCCCACATGCAGAACATAGAGGCTGCCAATCCATTCTGCCTCTCACACCATCTTGGCAAGCTGCTAAAAGCTATTCCATCATGGTCAGAACATCAGTCCTTTTCCAAGATGTTAAAACCACAGATAAGCTGAAGGGAGTTTAGCATATCAAAAACCAGGCAGGAAAAACCATCTCATCTCCAAAGTCTTCTCTCAAGAGAGTTTGAAATTACAACAATGCAAGTAGTAAAGGCAGAGAATCCCCATAAAAGCTGACTGCACCAACCACCATAGGAATTTTAGTACCAGTTGGTATGACTATCAACATATACCTCCATCAATTATGCTTCTTTCTTGCAGCCAAACAGGTAAGACTTTTGCAAAAAGTCCAAGTCTAAGGGTCTATATGATCTAAACTACAACCAAAGACATCTCTTATCCACTGCCAGTTCAATTGACATCAAGACTGCAGTGGTATGCCATTGAGGGGGAGGGCTCAAAATGCTGGATCTTGAAAAATTTCAACAGTCCTCGAAACATTAAGGATTTAAGGCCTATTAAGGAAGACAAAAAATACTTATTGATCACTTTTAAAACATAGCAACGAAGACCTCTCCCACATCTCTTTATGGTACAAAGTATGGATATACTCACAGCTTGACACAAGGCATCTCCTTGCAGTGTCAACACACCTTTTACTTGGTCCATGCTGAAATGAAAAGAATGAGAAGAAAATCTGGGTAACACAGGTCACAGGAGACAACAGACACCCACACACACTGCCAGCAGAGCACTGTCCCTCCCCAGGCCATGCAGCCAGCCACAGCTCCCTCCCTCTGAGGGTCAGCTACTGGGTGCAGGTGAACTCTACGAACACATCCAAATCCCCAGTTCTTGGTGTTCTGCCATACACTATGCACCACCACACCCTGCCTGCCCTACCTAAAACATCACGTTCTATTCCAAACAAGGTTTATTTCATGTGTCACCTATCAACACTTTGGTTGCTGTTGCAAACAAAAAAAGCTACCCCAAGCCCGTTCAAAGGTCCTGCAAGATGGCTCACACCTCCAGCAAACAGTGGGGGAGGACTGAGGTGCCTAGGCTGTAAAACTCAGTTTCTCCATACCTTACATATTAAGGTGTTTCAGATTTGCACTTTTTAAGATCTACCTTGGAAAAACGAGGAATAAAAGCGAGGCTCATTTTAATGCTGTGATTTAAAGACTGATTTTCAAAAACAAGACAGGAATGCTGCATCCTCCTTCGGTGTTCGCCATGCTGTCTCTAAGCAGCAAGGTACTCTGCTTTGCCCATGGCTTGTAACCCTGCCAAGGCGCAGACATTCAGACAGAGGACTATGCTGTAGATCAAAAAATGGACAGCTATTTCAGAATTACACTCCTGAAGGACCACATACAAAGCTCTGTTTGTTCTGTGTCAAGGAGATTTAGCATTGTTATCTTAGGGAGATTACAACAACGGTTAAGATTTATCCAAGGTCAGAGTCAGAGCAGGTCTTGTAGGTTCAGCTCACAGAGCCCAGAATCAAATGTCCCTTGGCAAGAACTGCTGACAGCAGTGCACTGATGCAGTACACCAGCACGTGGTCAGGGATCAATGACTGTATTACAGAGTCAGTAGGAAGCTGCAAAAATCCAGTCAAGACAGCCCCTGAAACATGAATACAGACAGACTGCTAAAGTAACCTGCCATAAGGATTTATTTTTCCAAAAGGCAAAATCCCATACTGAATGAGGCCCCTTTACTTCAGCAGTGCCATGGGAACCGTTCCCAAAGACATTTGGGAGGCAGCATATCTTCACCACCAAAGGACAGAAAATGGCCCCACAAGGGGAGAATCACGGCCCCAGCAGTAACACCACTTACCCTGCCACACTCAGCACGAAGTTCTCCTGCTTGGCTGCTCCTTCTGAGCCCCCCGCTGGCAGGGCGAACCTGTGGGAGGCCTCCTGCCCCAGAGAGAGAGCAGTGAGTGCTGGAGCCCCCAGGCCTGGCCTGCCTCAGCCTGGGCACAGGGACAGGCAGAACAATGCCAACAAGAGGCCTGGAGCAGTGCAGTCACTTCTGTGAGCCTCCAGCACCCTGCCCAGCAATCGCAAGAGAACAGAGACATCCCCTGACTCTTGTCTGGGCACCAGCATGCCATGGCTCACCCCGGAGTCACAACAGAGCAGAGCCGTCCACTGTCAGAGTGCCACTTTGTGCGGCTTCATAGTCATGCCTGCAGGGCTCTCCCACAGCAACCCCCAGGGATCAGCCCTCCTGACTGGTTACACTGACCACTGACTGTCCTGGAGCCACACCTCATCTTTAAAACTAAGACACTCTTCAAAAGCAGTACAATATATACAGATACTGGAGGTCATCTTCACCCGCTACTGGGCCGTATGCCACGTCACAACTAAAATCCTTGGGCATCCTCCTCCCATCATCCCCTCATATTTGCCCCTGCTCTTGCACCACCCACAACCCCCACCTGAGCAGGAGATGCTGGGGGAAAAGTGGGCTCAAACAGGGAGGAGCACGTGTGCAAGTTACTGCATGAGCAGAAGCTTGCTAGCTAAAGATTAGTGTACTGCTTCCTGCCCTCACATGGCAGATTTCATGGAAGATTTAGATTCTCTATTCTGAAAACAGTCATGCCCCAAACAATAGCCTGGGACACATGCCTGGCTGCTTCCACGTGTCCTTCCAGAGCATGGAGGATGCTCCATGTCAAGAACAGAGCATCCTCAGAGAGCACAGCTTCACTGCAAGTGTTCAAAACTAGACAGCAGGCAAACCTTTGGGACAGCACAATAAACACCTGATGGCTCTTTCTGTACGCTCCCTACTGAGATTTCTCCTCACAGCAAAGAGCAAACAGGCAAACTCTCAGCACAGAGGTGCACGAAACACATTGCCTTTACCTTCAAAATATCCTGCAGCTGTTTCAAAACAGCATGGACCTCTTCCTGTAACAGCCATTTAAACTCTTCTTCCTACATTGCGGAAAGACAGCAGCAGAAGCATTAGAACTATTTGCCAAATGCTGGAAATAAACGTAATTGATATAAGAAAATGGTTGAAGTTGTAAGTAGACTGCAATGTGTGTTATCTTTGCATCACGTTATTAGGAGAAGAAAGATCTTTTTTCTGCTGGATGTGTTCAGAGGCCTTGTTCTCTACTGCTCCATCCCAGGCAAGTCAATTCTTCACATTCCCGCCCTGACTTTAATAAAACAGAATTTGCACAAATCACTGCAGCAATAATCACACCATTAAGAATCACAGAATCATTAAGGTCAGAAAAGACCTCCAGGCTCATCCCGTCCCACCATCCACCAACACTGCACCCCATGTCTGTCACTGCCACATCCCCAGTTCTACAACAGCTCCACGCACGGTGACTGCAGCGACTCCCGCAGCTCCCCGTGCAGCCCATCGCAGTGCCTCAGCACCCGTCCTGAGCAGCTTTTTTATCCAAGCTGAACGGCAACCCGAGGCCGTTCCCTCCCATCCCATAGCCGCTACACGACACAGGCAGGCTGAGAGTCGGGAGCCTGGAGAACGCTGCACGGAGCCCACGTCAGCATTCTTGTGCCTGAAGGAGGCCTAGAAGAGAGCTGGAGGGGGATTCTTTATCAACGAGTGCAGCGATAACGCAGCGGGTAACGGGCAGCTCCGCTTCACGGCTCTCCTCCGGAAGCGCACGACGACTCAGGGCTTCGTGCTGTGGGAGCGGACACCTCCGCCCCCTGCAGCGATCTGCCATCGCGGTCCTCGCGGGCAGGGACCCCCAGCAGCCACCCCGCAGCTCGGGCACGCGCACAGCTCGGGCACGCGCACAGCTCGGGCACGCGCACGGCAGCGGTCCTCACACGGCACTGCACCGCGCCCGCCCCGCAGCGACCAGGGGCAGCTCGGCCCCGTTAAAGCGCTTCGAAGGGGCGCCGCCGGGGCAGGACGGGAAGGGAATAAGCCCCGCAGTTTCACCCGCGGTGCCGCCCCGCCGCCGGTGGATTCGGTCATCGCGGCGGCTCCGAGCCCCCGCCCGCACTCACCAGCACCGCTCGCTCCGCCGAGCTCACCATGGCCGCCGCCATCCTACGGCCAGCCCCGCCCCCGCATCCCCATTGGTTGTCTACTCCTCCTCCAGCCCTGCCCCCGCCGCACTCTATTGGCTATCGATCTGCATCCAGTCCCGCCCCATACTCCCTATTGGCTATCGCTCCACAAGGAACCCTCTCCCTCCCTCCCCTATTGGCTGCCACCTCGCGCCCAGCCCCTTCCCTCTCTTATTGGCTGCCATCCCTCTCCTAGTCCCGTCCCCCGCTGGACTGAGGCGCGGCGGTGACGCGGGCAGGGCGGGGCCGGGCCATGGCGCCCGCAGGGCTGTGCCGTGCTGCAGCCGCCCGCAGCATTTGGGATGGCGGGAGCAGCGCTCGCCCTTCTCCAGCGCTGACGTAGCAGCGGGACAGGCTGTAAAAACGGCCACAACAACGTCGTGTTACCAAGAAAGGTTTTATTCTTTTTGCCAGTAGCTTTGTTAATTGCACAAAAAATCTTTTTGATTTGCCATTTAAACATCTTCACACATCCTATTCTGAATGACAAATGTTAATTAAAAACAAGGCAAAAAATAAAAATTCACAACCTTAATTAACGATAGGATCTATCATTGAGGAGAAAAGAAACTGCTTTTCTTACAAGCTTCTCACAAGTGTCACATTGTCTCTTTAAAAAGGAGGGAGTCAAAAAAACCGCAATTTGCTAAAACAAATCTTCATAAAAAGGAACTTTACAGAATTGTCAACAATATTAAAGACAACACTGACTAGCCAGTTTTATTAGAGCATCTCTCAATCCACAGCTCTCCCCTCCCCGGACCTCAGGCCTAGGAACAGAGCAAGATCCACCTTCGGAGGCTACACACATAAATAAAAGAACCCGAGCAAGACTGAAACGCGTCAGCCTCACACAGCACCTGCCACAGCCCACTCTCCACCATTTAACCCCTCCTCCTTGCTTTGCATCCACTCCCGAGCTCTGTGCCCCACTCCTGGCCCCCCACAAAGCCAGCCAGAGGCTGCAGGAACAGCTGGCAGCGCCCACAGAAGAACCACCTCTGCTCTGAGGAAGGCAGCAGTTCTGGGAAATGAGACCTGCAGCACCGAGGGATCCCTCTCACAGGGATGGTTCTCTGAATACACTTTGCAACGTATGTCGTGAGACTTGAGAGCTCCTCTTGCATTCCCACAGTTTGCAGAGGCACCGCGGAGTAAAAAGATGACGACACCACTCCTTGATGACACCCGCTCAGACCCATTCTTCAATCTACTCCAAGAGTCTGCTGCACTGACCTGGAACAGTTCTGTGCTCAGTGGGTCTGGGACAGCACCTCCCACTCCCTTATTTCCCAAACACACCTCAAGCTACAAGACTCATGGTCTTATCCCCTGCCCCCAAAACACAACTATCCGCAGATGCCCTGAATATGTGATTTCCTAACTGCACTGTGTTTAATCAAGGTCTGCTGATGCTAACAGCTCTGTGAGATGGGAAATGTGTAAAGGTCAGAAGCAGGCCGATGGGCAGTTTTCCTGGGTACTTATATGTGCCTTTAATATGAATATCTACATGCAGGATGACAGTTGTATTGTCAAAGAAACACGTGTGCATAACTAATACTGCTCAGAGATATCACTGACAAATGGGCAAAGAAATGCCAACAGATCTATTACTAGATGTCTGCCACAGGACAATGCGTAACACAGTATTAGCCTACAAATAACAGTGACTGCAGCAGGAGAAATATTCACCCAAGTAACATTTACAGCATTAGATGTTAGATGTCATGTCTCACAACAAAGAACCTGGTAGCTTCCTCTGTTTCTTAACAAGGTGCCCCTGAACCATATACACTTGCTGCAGATAGCAGGATCGGTAAGAAATCCTAAGCCACAGGAAAGTTTCCATAAATAGCCATTAAGTTCCTAGAAAAATAAGATGGTGAGAGGGGCAGACCTCAAGGATTTAGAGCAGCATGGTCTAATTTTAATTTGCTTTCTTTCCTTTCAGAATCCCAAACGAAGGAAGGAGATTGTGCCACTGAGCAGCGACTTTGACTAATAACATTTCTTACTGGCATTTTACTAACTCTCAAATCTAAAATGGAAGAATCCTCCTAAAAGGCTAACACTGAGAGGTTAAAAATAAACAAACATGCTCTGTGCATTTTTTACAAACAGGCATCCTTTGGACTCTGGGTTGCTCTGCTACCAACAGAGATCATCTCTGCTCCTCAGCTTTGGCCTCTGCAGTTCAAGTCTCACATGTTTAGACTACAGCTCAGCAGCAGTATTAGCCTCCCATTACACCCACCAGTCTTCCTAGAAGTTGGTACCCGGCCACAAGCAGAGTCACAAGTACAGGGAATATTCTCATGCTGTGCTAGTGTTGTTCTCAGAGAAGTAACACTAAGAATACTTATGGAAAATTTGACATGTATAAAGATCACTAATCATTACACAAAATATCCCTGTGAGGTAGGTAATTATCACCCACCTTTGAAGATGGGCAATCAAGTTAACAGATAAAATGACCATGAAAAGGCCAGAGATAGCACGGGAAGGAGATCAGGAGCCTCCATCTCTTGGCACCACGATCATTCCTCTCACACCTTTCAGACTCATCACTCTGCTTGTGACACTGCTACAATCCAAGACACCTTTGTAACTATTGACTCTTAGGGTAAAAAAAAGAAAGCAAATAGTAAAGCAACACAAACTAAGGCCAGGAGCAACCCCCTAAAGTTTGTTCCTTCACCAAATTAAACACCTCTGGCTAAATTTTAAGCTAAATGTTTCTCTTGCAGCTTTTTATGCAAGTCTGTGTGAAGCTCCCATGCTGTTTGTGGGGTGGGCAGCTGCCATTAGCCTTTTAGGAGGCCACACTTAGTTACACTGATATACTCTCATTTTCAGTAAGGTTTGTGTTCCCTATGCTAGAGTTGTCTGTACAGGGGAAGACTTGGATGCAATCTGTTCTCAACAATATGAGGAATTTCTCCATCAAGGTGCTGGGGAGGTGGAAGTTTAAAAAGAAACAGAATCAAGACAGTGTTGCATGCAACCCCATTACCTTCTGGAACTGTCATTCTCCTCCACGGGAGGTGCTTTGTTCTCAAACATGGGTGACAAACAGGAATGCTCCTCACCTTACTTGGGACCAAGGACTTTACAGATATTCACAGGTAGATGGGATGTAGTCACCTGTTCCCCTTGATGCAAAAAGTCCAACACACGCATTATTTCACAGCAAAGGAGAAAGGGGATCGTTAGAAACAGCATCTTGGACAAGCATACAAAGAAGAAAATAAAAGCAGCCAAGCAGCAGATTTCTGGCAGAGTTGCCTCAGAGCTTCTGAACAAGCCGCCACTGTTCTGTTCCATGACTGTCAGTGCATGGCATGGATTTTCTAATTAGACTGCAACAATCCGAGCCCCCTCCTCCCCCCCTTCTGCCACCAGGGGAAGGCTGACCGCAGCAGCTGCCTCCATGGCAGATCTCAAAGTCTGTGTATAAAAGGAAATGGAGAGACAGAGATGGACTGGTCCAGAGTTAAAACCCAGTATCATAATAATATTAATCAATAATCATAGTATTAACAGTAAGAATGGTGCAGCCTAGTGGATGTAGGCCCTGTACACTGCAGACATGTCGTTGTCTGATTGGTCCAACGCTTTTGCTCGTTTATAGACCTAGAAAAGAGAAATTAGAAAAGGATCAGTGCCTGCTCTTATGAGAAGTCTTTCCCTAGCAGAAAAATTACTTTCCTGATCACTACAAACCAAAAAACTGCACAGTGCTTCAAATAAATTCACCAGCACAGATCAGAACACTCCAGGTTTTCTTTAGGTCATCTGTTTTCACTCATGTAATACTGTAAGAGCTTCTACCATCAAATGAAATTAAATTCCATCCCACTCAGAATACATTTCAATTGCTGTTCCTTTCTCTTAGACAGCACATAACTCTTAGATTTTGTCCCTTGGTGACAAACAGCTCTAACTCCGCCTACTGAACAAACACTGAGTAACACACATCTGAACACTCACCTCATTGGCAGCAGCTGCCATAGGAGTTGGATGGTTGACAGAATCACCCAGTGCAATAGCTAATCTAAGATCCTTCTGTATGTATTTCAGGTAAAAATCAGGTTTAAAGTTTCCTTGCAAGATATCTGTTGAGAGGAATGCATGCAAAAAAAGTAAGCATGACAAAAGTAAATCAAGCCTATCACACTGCAAGGTCATGCAATTTAACACCAAATCTCCCTTTCCCATGGTGATTACTGGGAACACTGCTTCTAGCTCTTCTGTTTCTCTGCTTTGTATCCTCATCCCACCACTTCTGCCCACTGACAAAGTGAGCTCAGATTTCTAAGCAGCTTGCCCTCCATTTCACTTATTACCCCATCCCAAATGAAATCACTGTCAACTCAAGACCTGAGCAGGCTGCAGACAATGCAGAGCTTGAGATGTATTCTCAGAGTCTCTGTCTATAAAGGTTAACGAATAGAACTCAACTCTTCATTTTCAGAATGCTTAAAGCACTCAGAATCCTAGGCTGATGAAGCTGGGATGATTCCCTCCCTTCCTTCATTAACTGAAATGTTGGCAGACTGTGACAAATGTCCTATAATAAAACAAAGAGAACTTTACTTTGGCACTTCTGGTCCAGGAAGATGCTGGCAAGTTGTCCCTGATTGAGGATATCCAGAAGGGTCTGTTGGGACTGACCAGTCACTTGAGCCAAAGTCAGTCCTTCTGCTATTGTAGCCATGAAGCTGCCTTGGACCATGTTCACGATCAGCATCATCTTGGCAGCATTGCCTACTTCACCTGGAAGCAAAATACAGCACTGAACATTCCTCCAGAACAGATGCAGCAACCTTGCTCCCCCACCCCACACAGTATTAACACTACTACGCTTTCCATACTGATCCCAAACACTTTAGAGCTGCCCCTTCTCCTTACAGGCTTTGGAAAACTTAGCTGTTTCCCATGCACTTGAACAACAGGAGAAAGCAAAGTATCATTTTAAAATAAAAAGCAACACAGATTCTCCAAAATGAGACAATACTCAAAGAAGAAAACTTAGTCTGAAGGCTCTGAAGTTGGCAGAATTCCAGAGGAGCGGGCTGGTTTCCCGTACTGCCTATGGAGACAAAAACAGCCAGTCCTTCTTGCCAACAGCATACAAAGATGATATATATGCCTCTGACTCCTTCCTGAATACCCCAGTCCTTGCACTGACTAAGAATCTGCTATCAGGCTCTTGGTGTTTCAGTTACCTAGAAAAAAAGAGGTCTTCCCCATCGCTTGGAAACAGCTACTGCAGTCCTCATATAAACCCCTGTCACCAGCTGCCAAGATCACAAGCATCCCATCATTTGATAGCTGCTGATTTCCTGAGACTGGTGCTTCCAAAAAGCGACCACCCCGGGACACTATCACCTGGAAAAATAGTATCTCTGGTTAGCAGTGCATAAACAGCAGGCATTGATCCTGAATAGGCAGCACGGCAAGAGCACTATCTGAGGACAGAATTTTAAAGCACAAACAGCTTAGACACAAAAACAGGAGAGGGAAGCACTGTAATACACCTAACATTATGCATGACACACTGAAAGGTGTTCCTGAGCATAAAAGTTGCCTTCATTCTCAGTAACACTTCTTATCTTAATGATGAATATTTTCCAGCAGCTGAGCTTACGTGCTTCTACCATGGCACCCTGTAATGGCCAAGAAACAGTGCTGAAGCTGTACACGAAGCATAGCACTCACAGATTATTTACTTTGTATTTAACCCCTCTTCCCCAAAGACGAAAGGCCTCTGACAGAACTCTTTGGCCAGACATTTACTAATATGTGTGACTATGCATTTTCCAAATTCCTGTGTTATACATTATTGCATCATCTCTGCTTAAAACTTCTCCAATACTATCTTCCCTTCTTTCTGCAATAAAACACACTCATTTAAGGGCTGAGGATGATAATCAAAATGTCAAGGAAGAAATAAAAAATGCCACACCAGAAATAAATCAAAACACTTTTACATCAATCCTCCCTTCAAAAACTTCTACAGAGTGAAATATGAAGGCACTCCTTCCCTATAACCAGGGCACTTAAAATAAGATCACCTATTTTATCAGTTTATGGACACTTACACATCCAGATAGTGTTCCTCCTCCTGTTTGCTACAGAACACCAAATCTGTACCAAACCTATACTAATAGTTCCATAGGGTTAAAAACTCAGCAGGCAGTTTGCAACGGTGCCACCTGACAGCCCTGACAAATCCAGAGGCTTTGCCGCTATCATCAGAGTACATCTTATCCAGCTCTGTTCACTGGTCAAGATGTGACAATTCATTCTGTCTCACCTGCTTGAGACTTGAGTCTCCCCTAGAAGAAGTCAAGAAATCTTACAAAACATCTGTATCATCAACAGCTTAAATCTTGAAACAAGTACTGCAGTACTGCTACTGAATCACAAGTGTTAGAGGATCCGCTAAGGTGATTACCTGGGCCAATTCTGTGACTGTATCTGCATCCACAGTGGACATATCCACATAACACTTCCCTGGTCGAATCCCCTGCAACACTCCACTCGGACCAAGCACCAGCTGTGAGGAACAGAAGAGCGGTAAAGCAATAGGGTGTCTGCAAAGAAACTCAAACCCTCAAGTCCAAGAAAGTCTGGCACTGCAGTGTAGTCTTCTAAAACGATATCAAAACCCAATCCCCATGGATTATCTTTCTGCGAGTAAAAGGGAGAGAGGTAAGTATGACTTTGCTGGGAAACAATTCTACGTATTTGTCCTGCCCAGCACCTGCAATAACCCAGGCTACCTTCATCAGTAGGAATCAGAACTAGCACTGAACGGTGGAGGAAGAACAAGAGCTAATCCTTACATCCTTTGCTGCTTTTGGATCTGATACACAGGCAAAGGTGATGTCACAGGTGGAGACAACTTCAGCAGGGGTTCTTCCCAGCCGTGCCCCTTCCTGGATGAACAAATCACACTGCAAAAGTCACAAATTGAAATGTAAGTAAAATTAAGTACAAACCAAATGGGTTCTCTAGCATTTTGATGAAACAAACTTTACTGTCAGACTCAACATGAGTCAAATATATTAATTATTCAGTAAGTTGGGTTTTGTTGGTTCATCTCCTACACCCAAGGGGCTCCTCTGTAGCTTTTCTGAACCCTCAAGAGAAGAGCTTCAAAACAAATGCACAAGAGAGAAGGCTTAGGTGATAAACTGTAAGAGATTGAATGTTGCAGTTTTTAAGAGAGAGGAGTACAAAAGAACTGGTAAACAGAACAAAAGGTGTTGCTGACCAGTAAACAGGATATGCACAGCTGAGACTGACAAAGGCTTTTAAAGGGCTGCTGTTCCAAATTCTTAGTTCCTTCCCACCCTATCTCCTTGTTTTGTAGTTAGAAAACATCCTTAAAAAACCCTTTGCTATTTTACAATACAATTGACGTGTGCACATTTCCTCCTCCACTACAGTTGCTAGAATACAACTGTATAGCCATTTAGCTCCATTTCAACATTGAAAAGGAACCTGGTCTCATGTCATGACACAGCACGTTTGCCACAGAATCTTCAGCCACTGCCAACAGCACAATGGATGCTTAGATGAAGCTGTGGTCAAGAAGAGTATCTCACCACACCACTCCTGGGATCAACTTCCCAGCACGTGGTCCTTTTGTCAAGCTCCAAAACACAATGACTTAGCTACCTGAATCAGCAGTATGCCCAGGAAGAACTTTATGTTGCAATCCTCAACAGGGACACAAAGCTGCAACAGCAACGTGGTGGGAACTGTTCACAGCTTCTAGTATGAAGTGGCCACCCACAAGCACTCAGGAAATAATAATAAAACAAGGCGGCAAACATACTTGTGCTTCTTGAGCATCCTCTCCCAGGCACCAGCAATTGGTGACTAGAGGTAGTAGGAACATGTTTTAAAAAAGGAAAGTATTATCTTTATCTAAGGTATGTGCCTACCTTCTCAGCAGTCCGGTTCCAGACAGTGACAGTGTGACCCATCTTCAGTAAGTTGGAGACAATGCCACTTCCCATCAGACCAAGTCCCAGAAATCCTATCCTAAAGGGAAGAAAGAAGCATTAATGCAGGGAGGGGATTATGTAACAGATAAGCAATTGCCATCAGCTTCCCTTGATCCTGGAAGCGATCAGGAGTAAAACCTGGAGCACAACCAGCAAAAACCAGACTACAACGCAGCCACAGCCAGAACAGGACTTCCAAATTGGGAAGACACTGTGCTTAACAGCAAGCCAGTGTTTGTTTTGCATACTAAGCATCGCTAACAATTTCCTCTAGAAAGACTCAAGTCTGCTTTGGAAGAGTAGCTGAATGCTAAAGGTTGAGGGGCTGTTGGTTCTTCATTAGTTTGCTTTTAATTAAATTTACTGCTCTTGTGCTTTCTGCTGCTAGCTATTGCTGTACTGAAGAAAAAGAGGTCAACTGCAGATCAGCAGGTGCTTCTCTAATTTACTTTCTGATTTTTGAACCAAGTCACACAAACAATGACTTGTTTATACTACTGAATGATACATTACTACTTTTACTTCAGTAAAACTCAGAAAGAACTACTGTACTATGCATCTCACACAGTCCAAAGGTCTAAACCTCTCCACAGCTGCAATTCAACAAAAAAAATTGTAATAGTCCTGTACAGGTCAACGTGAGTGACAATCCCAGATAACTGCTGCCTTCCCTCTCCTAAGATGGGGAGAGTTTTGCTCTGTCATTTCAAGAAAAAGACAACAAAGTAACAAGTTTCATCTCCATAATTACCTGTAATTGGAACTCTCTGTCAGTCTCTGCTGCAGCAAGCTTCTTACCTACCCACAATAGTAGGAATTTCTGAATCGTTCACTTACACGCCTAACGTAACCTCAGCCTCACAATTCCCAAAAGGTAATTTTTCATAGCTAGCCATACTACAGTTGCACTACGGCTTTCTCAAGTCACCTGTACTCTCCCAACCATTACTTTTTTTGTTAGAGCAAACTAATTCAGGCAGATCACAAGTCACTACAGGTTCTTTCAACAGCTTAATGTCCATCTATTCACAAAGCTCTGAAACAGACCTTCCCTCTCTCCCTCTCCCAACCCAGCTCTGAGCCATGCTTTCCTGAGAGACTATTTTACCTGAACAGCTTCATTGTTATTTTGGTTCCCCGTGAGTACAGCTGAGAATTTATATCCCATGAGAAATGACCCCAACGGCAAACAGCAAGGCCTGAGTGCAATTTGAACACAGCGGAAGTTACAGAGTGAAACAGGAAGCTCAAGTGAGGCTCGTCTCACTCTAGAAAGGAGAACGGGGACGTTAGAAGAAACCAGAAAGCTCACGTGCTGCATAGCAAAGCTCCTGTGCTGGGAGCCTCCCTCTTCCGCTCGCCTTCTAATGCTCAGGGCAGCAATCAGACAGCCCTAGTCAACTGCCACGCACCACTGGAGAAAGATATCCTTTTATCGCCCTGCCCCACATGGCATTCAGAAATATTGCTTCTTCATATTTTGCAACGTGCCCTGCAGGAAAAGGGCAACTGCAGGAAAGCACTGAGATGCAAGTACATCCAGGGCAGACCTTGTTCTAAACTCTCCTGCAGTACAGCTCCTGTTTTGATTTTAGCTGCCTCCCTCCCACCTCCACCCAAATGAGTGTTTCACACAAGGACAGAGGAGATCTCTAGAGAGAAATGTTAGGTTTATTTATTCTCAGTGACAAACTGGATAATGGCCGCATGTATGAGATGGAAAGGAGAAAAGGAAGGGAAATGGCTGAAGTGCGTTGGAGATCTTACTTTTTGTCTGTGGGTGTGATACTGCCATTGACTGCCGTGCTGTCTGCTGCCTGGATGGAGGTGGATCCTGTTTCCTGGAGGAAGAAAAAAAGACCATACAGCTCTGGAGGAACTGCCAGTCCTTGTGATAATACAGAAAATCCATCAAAGCAAACATCTGTCTCACCTCTTCACAAACCTTCAGCTTCTTTGTGATGGCTTGATAGCAGACAGCTGGCTGTATGGATAAAACAAAGCATTCAGGGGAAAGACAGTGCTGATTTGCTCTGCTGAGCAAACAGACCATATCCTCACTACAAAGAAAACAGGCAGCTCACCCACACACCATCTGCAGCACAGGAAAGCTCTCAGGCTTCCCTCAAACAGAGAAAATAAAACCCTATTGTAACATACTAAGTTCTCCCCTTCCTACCCTACTCTAACAATTCAGACTGTTTTCTGATGCAGGGACTACAAAATCCTTTCTGTAGTTCACACAGCAGGCACTCCAGCGTTGAGGATACAGCATATCCTCACTCTCACATCCGAATCAAAGAACACAGATCTCTATAGCCTGCCACAGAGCACCGTGCAGGCGCTCATTATGTCACTGTAGCTGCTGAAGCAAAGCATTTTTGTTAACCTAAGGCAGCACGTGGCTTACAGCAGTGTGTGAAGGCTGCTCCTGCTCAGGCTGCTTATTCTGAGCTGCTCTTAATCTGTCTCTGCACAGATCCTCAGCCAGATATAAACTGTTTTTTCATTTAATTTGATATTTTGTTTTCCTCCTGACATTCACAGGCTGAATATAAAATCCTGCATGGTTTCTGACTCTAAAGTTGGCTACATTTTACATGGAGCTTTTCTAGGTAGGGGCAACTGTCTTGCCACATTCAGTTAATTAACAAATTCATCCAGATGAAGAAATTGGAAGGACAACCATCAAACATATAACAGGGTTGTAATTAGTAAATTATCACCTTCCAGCCTTCATATTCAATCTGCAGAATTTAACAGAACAAGTCTGCTGAATGCTGGTGCTAGGTAATCTTTGATGTCTTGAACTATTTGTTGTCCTTAGTGCCAAATTACTCCAAATGCTGGAAAGTAACCAAATGGTAAGATTGCACACGAGAGTCTCATTGCTAGTAGGCCCCAAAGAAGAGAAATTCAGAGCTGGTTATGTATTTAGACCTTCATTCCAGCAAAGGGCAGGATGCCAAGTTAGAGCAATCAGCAGAATTATCCTCTCTGCCAAATCCTCACCTTCTCCGTCTGGCTCAGCAGGAAGTGATGGAAGTGTGGATCACTGTCCTTCACAGGCTACAGAGAAAAAGTACAGACTCAGAAACATTCCCAGAGTGTCACTGAGCAACCACATCACTATTCCCTTGTTCTCCCAAGCTGCATAATAACAACTTCAGGTGGGAAATATTTAATGCATGACAGCTGTATGAAGCAGTTTGTTTTGATGTAGCAGTTTACATTGTGTTTCATTTCCAAAAGCAAAGCCATTCAAGTCACATCCCTTATTTCTCAATTTCTGCAGGAAAATCAAAACAAAACTATCAGCAGGATTAACAAGGGAAGAAGTAGCCTCTCCTTCTTATCCGTAGTCCCAGATCCCACCTCCTTCTCCTAATGAAACAAAAACTCTTTCCAGCTTCCAAGGAATTCCTTAAAACATACTCATGGTGGGTAGTGGCTGAACATTAATCTTAGCAGTCACATGATGGGCATCTGGAGAGTTCATTTCTCCAATGAACACTCTAAGCACTAGCCTAGAGTTGCATTTTTCTTACTGTGCTTGATCATTTAATTATTTAAGTACAAAATGAAAGATTTCCAAAAGCTGATTATGAAGGAAACTGAAGTAAACCATCCGATATCACATTATCCAGACACAGAGAGCCTATCCAAGTCTTCTCTTCCAGTTCTGGAAAGCCAGTCACAGAAATATTTTTGAAATCAGAAGTGCAAAAACACATGCAGCAAGTTAGGTGTGAATTTGCAGACTGCTTCACAAGGACAAAAATCTCACTTTCCAACATACTTACTAGCTGCCCAAAGGTATTGTTCAGTTTTGTTATGCTACAGAATGACAAAGAAAGCACTTTAAGAGAGAATTCCACTCTCTACTAATGTAGAACAAAAGGTTCTACACCATCTTCAGCTAGGAACTAAGCTTGCAGAACTATGCTGTAAAGCCAGCCCAGGGTTTCTCACCTCACTGACGCTTGGTGGCCATTTAAATCCAGCCACTGTTCCAGTCATCACTCTTTTCACTGTACTTGACTCTGGAATTGTGAGGTCCTGAGAAGATACAAGGGAGATCAGAAAAGAGCTTACAAACTGGCTAAGTGGCTGGTAACAGCAAAATGATTGCAAGTGCACATACACAGTTTTTAAAAGCACTATGCATGCCTTTCCACAAAGAGGTAATATTCCAAGCAGAAGGTGTATTATCAACACAGGTGATGCAAAGTGGAAAAAAAAAACAAGAACAAAAAACAAGAACTGTCAACAACAAAATTCAACCAGTTACATATGAAGAACAGTTTTTCCAGAAGCTGTAACAGAAATTATCACACTTGTGTAATCATGCAATGAGAGAGAAACAAATGAACAAACTTGATCCAGCATTTCCCTCTGGTGGATGCAAAAATCTAAACAAATGGGTAAAGAACATCACTACAGTCAGACAGATGTTTGAGCTGTTCCTCATCCTCCACTGTCATTAAAAAAGGCAGCAGCCTACCTGTTAGCAGGAAAACAAAAAACCTGCTAAGTATGCACCTCATACAGTCACACCTGCTGTAGTTTCCAGAATGCATGAAACTGGAAATCATACATGGACTGTTTCCCATTCCTTAACATGTCACCATGATCCTTAAAGCACCTTTATTTTACTGTTGTTAAATTTTGATCTGTTCATCCTTATTTCCACAAGTAAAGATTAAAACATAGATCTTTATGATTTATGAAGAGAACGTGCAGGGCTTCTATACTGTATTAGACCTTCCTGAGATGAAGATTCAGAAATGAAATGCACTTCCTGCAAATGCACAGTGTGCCTTAGTGTCCACAAAGAACCACCAGAGATGAGCACTGTTTACAAAACAAGGAAGAACAAGGCTGCTGGAGGTAACTGACACTGATGCAAACATTTCATCTGATAGCAACGACAACTTAGATATCAGCCTCCAACCTTAAAGTGCCACTGTACACTAGAACTCTCTTTTTGAAGACCATATTGCTGCTTCAACTGGCAAAGCAAGGATGAAATCTGCTCTGATACATAAGTAGTCATGTTGGTCCTTTGAAAATATCCATATAAACTTGAAAATGAGAGTATCTGAATGAACATGTATGCCTAAAGGGCATTTCTAGATAGACCATACCTCAGTAAAAACTGAATCCTCTAATTTTATGCATCCCGAGTGCTTGGAAAGGTAGCTGAACTGTGACTGAACAAAACAAAGGAACCAAAAAAGAAAAAATACATCCCAAATACCAACGCTGCAGTAATTCAGACTAGTGACAAACATTTTCTTCCCCCTAGCACTAATAATTCTGGGAAGTTATGAGACCCAGGTAAGCAGAACGTATGATTTCAAATTTATGTCATGGATTGAAAAAGTGTTATGGCAGTGCTGTTATAATTTCACAGTGATTTCTCTAATTATCAGTATACTGCCTTTCAGAACTTGCACAGTTACTTTCCTACAGAAGCCAGCTTACTTTCACAGTCTGCAGCAAGGCATTCATCCCCTAGCTGGCAAACTCTTTGTGATAAGCTGTTTGAAGCCACTCCACTTGCAGTTTCCCAGTAAAAATTTCTAGTGCCATAATTAAGTCACTCTAAGCTCTCTCTAATACCCTAAGGCAGCTCATACAATAAAAACTAAGCATGCAGTGTGTCAGCACTACTGGAATTCCCCCACCATTCATTTTGATTAGTTTGGATTGAATTTACCTCAAAGACAAAAAAGCATTTTACATTAGGGAAAAAATGGTCCAGGGCTTTATCATAGCAGATACATTCAAAGATATGACATGATTATAACATCTCAGAAGGGTAAGCTAAGGTACTCATAAAGTGTTTTTCTGCAGTCAAGTCAAAAGATTTACAATTAACAGTAATTCACCTCTTTGCATCCAACTTCTCCTTCTTCCAATTCCCCCCAAAAGGAGAAACTGATGGGTTCTGTCACATGATGTGATTTAACAGAAACTGGCTTAAAAAAAAAAAAAGCTAGTATCTCTTACAACCGGCTTCATTTTTACCACCAAGGCATCAAGAGTTTGCTATTCAACCTGTTAAGGCCAATCCTGTAACAATACAGGGAATGGAAACCAACTATTTTGAGTTGCATCCTGAAACACACTGAAAGCAAAGCCAGCGAGGCACAGAGTAGCACAGTCCCTTTGAAGCAGTGATGAGCAAGCACACTGTTGTAGCATGGTGCATCAACTGAAGCCTCCCAACAGTCTTCAGGTGTTGTCTCCAGTGAAGAACGCGTGTTGTAGTAATCCACTGAAATTTCTATCCATTTGGACAAGAAAGATCTGGACCACAACAGGGAGCTCCACAATAAATAAAAATGGGTACTCTGCACAACAGTAGACAAAATATTGCTGGCTACTGCTTCTGTCATGACACACAGAAGTAAACAAGGGAAGTAACAAGGATAAAATAATAATGCTCCAGTGCTGGACCTTTATAATGGAGAATGGAAATATATTCTATAGCATAGAAGTGAATACAACTAGTTCTTCTGGTGCATTATTCCCATGCTACACGAATTTCTTCTTCACACCTTAGTCCTTAAGAACATCCCACCCTCAGTAAGCACAGAGGGTGAAGTTAAGAGACTATAAATCACTTAATCATATAAAGCAGATGAGATGGGAAAAGTCAGAAATCAGATGAAGAGCCACACCTCCTCACTAACCCTGCATCAGCTGAATTTGAGGGATGATAAGATGGAAGGTGGAGTCTCATGAGACAGCTCTCAAAGCCCTCTCAAAGATATGACTAGAGCCACTCAAAGCAACTAAATAGTAAAAATGCACATGAAGAATCAACAACTTGCTTGTCAAAGGTATCCGACAGCCAGTTGGTCTAAAAGAAGCAACACGGAAGAGCTTAAAAAAAAAACTGATACTGAACTGATATTCTTCACACTGGCCTATTAGTTAAGGTGCCAGTCATCCCTAAGTCCACCTGCAAAGTCCACAGAGGGCACTGGCGGACATGCACAACACAAACCTTCTCATCCTTGGGTGGACGCCCCCGCTTTCGGGGGCTCTGATCCTGGGTTCTTTTCAAAGGTGACTTTGATCCTCTCTCTGACGATACAGAAGAGACCCTCTTTTTTCCTTCCCCTGTGCCCTTCTTCAACTTCCCTTCAGACAAACTGGCTTTGCGTTTCTCTTCACCAGCAGATTGCTTGCCTCTTTCTTCACTGGAATTACGCCGATTCTTCTCTTCACTGGAGTTATGGGAAGATGCCTGAGAGATTACAGAATAGAAGACAGTAAGGAAAGAAGAGAAGAGCTAGAATGACTTTCATGCAAAACCAAGGATGCGAAGGACCGCCATGCTGTTTACTATGAGGCAAACCAACAGCATGGGAACATGAAAACTAGACTGCTAGCCCCTTGAAGTCGGTGAGTGAAGTTCCTTGTTAGTTCACCTGTAAAAACACTCACTTTGAGTCACTGAGTAACAGAACAGGACATCTGAAGACTCAGGTGGGAGTGCATACACACGCATGCACTTCCACTAACAGTAAGATTGGTAGCTATCACATCCAAGTCCAAGACTTAAGATTGATTTATAAATTCAAAGCAGATCAATCAGCCTCTTCAGTTTCTCCATCAGCGTAACAAGTCTTTTCACCCCTCATCAGACAAGACTGAACGGGGAAGAGGAAAGGTTAAGAAAAAATAAAAATTTAAAATTGGGGGGAAAAAAGATGAAAATGAAAACAAAATCCTCCCCAACAAATTGCCAGAAGCAATCAACTCCTTTAAAACAAAAACACATTTCACCATCATTTACTCCAAGCCTTATTTTTATGCACATGATAAAGAAGAACCCACTCACTCACCTGGTCCTTGCCTTTGGTTTTTCTAAGAAACTCCTCCACGGCATCCACGGCTTGCTGGAAGCGCTTACCCTTGTTAATCTTTATCATTTCCTCTTTGTGCAGGTGATAAGGCTTCAGCTGTTCCACTTTGATCCAAGCACTTGAAATAGAGGAAAAAAAAAATCGGTTATATTCTCCAACAGCAGCTTCCTCAACCACCCAGCTCCTAGAAATAGAGACACATTTCTTGTCCAGAGCAATCAATAACAAGCTTTCCACAGCCTGAAGGACTGCAATGTCTGCATTCACTGAGAACTTTTTTCTGGCACTTTTACTTGGTTTCTCCCTCATGTTACACACACTCCTCTGCTAGCATTACTCCCCTCTAAGCACTACTGACATACTCCATCAGCAGACTAGCCCTTAGATGTGATCACAAGCACCTGTTCAGAACAAAGGCTGACCAGTGACCTCTCCTGTACCACCAGGAGGAACATCCACAATCACATGCCTCTGTATTTGGTAGCCCCTACTATTAATCTGTTCACAGTGCTGTTAAAAGTCATCAATCCCTTGCTCAAGCACACTGTGCTCTAGTAACCACTATTTCTAGTTAGAAATCAGCTCGCTGAAGATAGACTGAAACTTTTTGTGCCTCATGTGGGGAGAGTTAAGGTTCCCTGACAGAGTTGACTGCAGAAGTAGCAGCATCCTTTCCACGGTGCCATACAGCCTACACCACGATTCTGTCATTGCCTGGAAACAGAACTCAGTATTCTCTTGCACACCAAGCTGAATCTTTCTGCTTAGTTTACATCATCTTTGTAATAACTGACTTAACATGCTATAGAAAGTCAAATTGTTTGTTTTCAGATTGAAGTCTGCAGTCAGCAACTCTCAGTGAACCCCCCCTACATGCCCAAACTTCACAGTGACATATCCTAACATTCACTGAGATGCAAAGGCCTTTTTTGTGACTCTGAAGGACAAAACATACCTGGGTACTATGCAACATCAACCCACACTAAGTCTTTCCATTGTGTATAGAAAGGACATAAAATTTGTCAGTATGCTGTAAGAAGGCACATGAAGTGTTGTTCCCAGATTTGAATTACAGAATAAGAAGTGTCTCTTCTTCCAAGGCACTCTCTTATGTTTCTTTCTATCTGCACATACTACACCTTTTCACTGCACATGCTTATTATTTTATTTCCCCCATTACTTTTTCCACTGGAATGGAGAAAGCCTGAAGCACAAAGCTCTCTGCTCCCTGGCTTAGAAGGTACATTTTAGCACTTGCAATCACCCAGTCTCCAAGGCAAACTCACAAGTAAGGAACAGCCTTCAGCGCTGCCTCAGGGGAAGATAAACAAAAAGGGTCTCTTCCAGTTTATCCTTTGTGTGCCACCCACTTGGAGGACCTTCTGTAAGGTACAACATGTCTTCTGACACTGCATGTCCATCCATAAAGCACTTGTGTGTTTCTGACAGCTGAAAACTAAACCATTTTCCACCAAACACACTCATTCATGTTTCTGGAAAGGATCTCTTTTTTTTTTTGTTAAGCAATGACCTCACAGCTATTATTTATAGAAGAGGTCTCCAGGATGCAACATTTAAAAGGAACTACAACTCAGCAATGAATGAACATCCTAGAAAAGAAAAAGTGAAGTCACATTACTAAAGCTGACATATTTTAAGATGAGACTGTTTTCATATTGTGGCACAGTCATCCAATACCCAAAAAGAATTGGTTAAATAGGAAGTGAAAAAGGTGTTAAAAATCTACATTTTAGTAACAGACTTCTCTGCTAATTTCTTCATGCCCTTTCAAAATAGCATTCCTAGAAAAACCCTTAAAAAAATCCACATTCTAATCATAAACAACAAACAAAAATGTTCGTGGGGAAGCAGAGCTAAGTGTGAATGTGACCAAGAGCAGCATGGAAAATGGTGGCATAGAAGTAACACAGCCAGAGGGAACAGATTCAGATTCACTGTATGAGCTTGGTACAGGTAACAAGGCCTTAAAGCATGCTGCTTTTAGCCATTTTCCAGTCTGAAGATATCAATTCCTAAAGACAGCCTGAAAAATTGGAGAGATGGAAGTGGCAGAAGTTGCACATACACCCACATTTGGCAAAACTTACAGTTAGCTCTGCTGAACGGTGGCACTACCTCCAAATTTCTTTTACTTACTGGAGCATGGGAAAGTTTGCAAAGCTTACACTGTGCCAGTTGAGAGGCCCACACTAAGTGCTAACACAGCCAGCTTCAAAAATCACAAGAGAATAGCCTGGGCCTGGAAGTAGCCAGTGTTAGCTAGCACACAAGAAGCCAGATGGAGAAAATCAAGATGGATTTTGTGATGGAATGCTGAACTTTCTCATCAGTACTGGCATGATGACGAGTAAAATCACACAGCTGAGCTCTCTGATTTATTACATACAGTTTTTAAAGGAAATTTAAAAGAAGCACAAAGATGATCTCATTTACGTTAAATCATACAGCTGAGCAACTAAAAGGAAGGGGTATTTTGCAGAAGAACAAGCAGCAGGTCAGTGCTGAGAAAAGCGTGTAATAATGACAAATGTACAGTGGACATACACCTTTGGAGATATCAGCAGCAAAGGGCCAAGAAGTTCTGACTACAGTAATGTTCAGCTATGGCACTATGCTGAGAGATGTCTAACAACATTCCAGCTGGCTCTGGCACACAGCAGCCTGCCTACAGCAACATGGAGCTCTGTATGGGCTACATCCAGCTGAAAACAGCAGCAAGCTAACCCTCTGTTTGCTCAGCCTATAGTGGAGAATGGCTTGAGAGCAGTCCTGAGGAGAAAGATTTGGGGATGTGAGAGAATGAAAGATTCAATACGAGTAAGAATGTGTCCCTGAAGCCCAAAATGACAAACATATCCTAGGCTGCATCAATAGAAGTGTGACCAACAAGATGAAGGTGATTCTGCCCCTCTGATATTGTGAGACCCCACCTGGAATACTGTGTACAATTCTGGAGCCCCCAACACAAGAAGGAAATGGAGTTGTTGGAGCAGGTCCAGAGGAGTGCACAAAGATGATCAGAGGATGGAGCACCTCCCCTGTGAAGACAGACTGAGAGAGCTGGGGCTGTTCAGCCTGGAGAAGAGAAGGCTCCAGGGACACCTCAGAGCCCTTCCCAGACCTGAAGGTGCCTACAGGAAAGCCGAGGAAGGAATTTTTATAAGGGCAGGTAGCAAGAGGACAAGGGGAAATGGTTTTAAACTGGAAGAGGGTAGCTTTAGCCTAGATATCAGGAAGAAATTCTTTACTGTGAGTGTGGTGAGACACTGGCACAGGTTGCCCACCGAGGCTGTGGATGTCCCCTGCCTGGAAGCACTCTACTACCACTACCTGGAGGCCAGGCTGTGTGGGACTGTGAGCAACCTGGGCTTTAGGAGGTGTCCCTGCTACAGCAGGGGGTTGGAATGAGATGGTCTTGAAGGCCCCTTCCAACCCAAACCGCCCTATGATTCTATGATAACCTCTGGCTCCTTATATTCCCAAAGCTCCTTATATTCACATCCAACACCTGACAAACTTCGAATGTCTTCTGATGTCAGGATCTCAAAGAATGTTTTATAAAGACTACATCCAATAATTTCTCTCCCCCTAAGAAGACAGAGAGAACAGTGGCATAAGAAGAGCAAACATGTTGGCATAACAGCAGCGTATGGAGGATGGGAAGAAAGAAGTCTGTGCTGAAGTTGTTGGGCCTAATGCAAATAGGCTGCAGATGACTCTATTTACCTTGGACTGCAAGCTTCCTCCCATTTTTCCTTGATGTAGCAGACAGGAAGTGACCCCTAACCCCAGCACTTCTAGTGAGACTGTTTACTTTTGTACTGATGCTTCAAAAAGTTGTTCTGAGTAAGAATGGGCTGCTCCAGTTACCTATTAAGACTCTGATACGTGACTTACAAGATTATATGGCTATCACAGCATTTCTACAGCGTGTGTGTGTGTGCCCACAGCCTGCAAGACTTCCTGCTGCTTCCAGTTAAGTAGTTAGCTTAGAAGAAGTCGAACGGTTTCCAAACAGGCCATGAAATCTAAGAATATTTGCAACTGGATGGAATGCACTGAGAATTTATGGAAGATTAACAGACTATGAGCCTGCCAGCCTAGTCATCCTACCAACTAACAGCAAGAAAGAAGCATGCACACCAACTTCTGAGTTCTTACACCACTGCCCTCAATTACTACAATGCTGAACCAATGTTTCATGTGACAAGACTGTAGCTTGGAAAAGCTCCTTTTATTTTCCAGGCTAAGAAGTACAGCTAGAAACGCTGATAAGAGGTCAAAGTTCCATTGCAATTTAGAAAGGTTTAAGTTCCAATAACTGAATGTTGTTGCACACTTGTCATTTCTCTGGGCTGGAAATATCAGCTGTTATCGATTCTGGATGAAGAATCATTTTAATGTGAAGTCACTCTGAGGACAGATACTCAGGAAGGTAAGTCCAGACAGACTCAGAAAATCTCACTATTGGAAAGTAAGTTAATAGAGGCATTTCATGATTATGTGCACCACAACTAAGGAAATCAGTTAGAACAGGACATGGACATTACATGAACATCTAGGTGGCCCGCTCTGCCATACAGTACAGGTGCATATGTCACACTTTAAACCAAAAAACAAATTCCTTTTCCATGGGTAAAAATAGTTCTCTTCTAGAAAATCTACCAGCCTGAAAGCAACAGAGCAACTCTACCAACTGAACAAACAGAACTCTGAGCTCAGCAGGAACTTTCAAAAGCCAACACTTACAGAGCAGTCGGACTGCACTCTACTCTCCTTTTTGTGTCTTTCACTGCAGCTACACAGAGCCTTCCAGGTAATGCATTCTTTTCATCACTGCAGCATCAAACTAAGCCAGTATTAGCATGTACACCTTATGCACATATCATGTCCAAGGTTACAGCTAAAGCAGTGAATTTTCTTTACAGTTGTACCTCAACTCATTCAGGATTTCAAGAATAACCAGTGCCTATCTATACACTACAGCAAAAGCACTGCCAAACAGAACATTTTCATTCACTCAACCACTCTGCTCACAGATGTGCCTTCACACTGCAAATCAATTCTCACGTTTAAGCAGCTTTCTCCTTAATCTTTGGTAGGGGAAACTGGAACCATGCAAGTCAGAAGGAAAGAGCCTTTCTCCAGCCTGAAATGGTGGCATTTCAGAATTCCTCAGAAGAAAACAGACCATCCACGCTCTGAGATTACCTATCATTGACAAACTGGCTGGCAACCACCCTCAATGCTTTGTGAGGACTCTACCCACCACCAAGCACCGCCTTCACCTGTGTAAGGTGACAATGAGTGAAGGGCTCACGCCCAAACACCCATCTGTTAAACGTTGGCACAGCAAGGCAGTAACAGAAGATCCATGAAATTTGATCAATGGTATCAACTTGGAAGGGGCAGAAAGATGTAAATGCAAGAAAACAGGAGCAATACACACTGGAACACAAGTACAGGCCTGTGTATTCATCAGACCATGGACTACAGCCAGTGACAGGAGCTCTGCATCCTCCCATTTCTAATTCTGTTCATTATGTAGTGATTTTTTGTCAGTTTGGTATTTCCACTCCCTGTTTACATACACCTTAAAAAAAAAAAAGGTATTTGTAAAACACATTAGTTTACTTACACAAAATAAAAGGATTTTTCCTCCCAACATCAACATTTAAAGTGAAATGATTTAAAGTCTTTGTGACTCTGCTCAGAGATAAGGATTTTCTCATGGTTCTAACACCAGTAAAACTCCCAGGTACACAAGATTCTCTTTCTCCTGTCTAAAAACATTATTTTTAGGGGCAGCAAAAGAGACAGTATTTACTTCTAATCAATTTTCAGACAGAGTATGCAAGACAAAGCAAGAAGGTTTCTGAGCAATAATCATGGAGCAGGAATTAATTAAATCCCACAAGCAGCAAGGGTGCGAAGGGCAGCCCTACACGTGTGTGCATTCAGCACCACTGTGTGAGATGGCTGAATCTTCCCAAGCCAGAATCTAGAAACACAGAGTAAACCCCAGCTGCTTATATGTCTGAACTCTTCACCTGCAACCAAACTGCTCATCTCAGTGACACAACCTTAAGACATACAACCACTTTCTCCAAACTTTTCTTAATACAGAACATCTCTGTATTTGATCCAAAAACACAAAATACAAAAATCAAGAGTAAGCTAACAGGAGAGAAACAGTCAATTTCCTCAACTTAGATTCAAAGAATTGTTCAGGTTGGAAAAGACCTTCAAGATCATCGAGTCCAACCACAACCCAACCATACTACCTCTAACTTTAACAGCCCACCCCTAAATCATGTCCCTGAGCACCACATCCAAAAGGTTTTTAAACACACTCAGGGATGGTTACTCAACCACCTCCTTGAGGAGCCTGTTCCAGTGCTTAACAACCCTTTCCGTAAAGAAGTTTTCTGTAAAGAACTTTGAGAGCTTGAGTTAGTTAATAAGAAAAAAAAAAAAAAACATTATTTGACTTCAAATCAATGTTCACCTGCCTTATGTTACCACAGATCCAGCAAACCTTCCTATTTGTGTGCAGCACTCATTTCTGCTCCATCAAGTACAGATTCCATTTCTTAATCATAGAATGGCCTGGGCTGAAAAGGACCACAATGCTCTTCTAGTTTCAACCCCCTGCTACGTGCAGGGTCACCAACCACCAGACCAGGCTGCCCAGAGCCAGGCCTTGAAATGGACAACTGATATTTTAAAATTATTTTTGCTTAAAATCTTTTCAATTGAAAACAGTTTCCTTAAGAAGCATCCATTAATTGGTCTCAATTCATTACTTCTGTTCCCACCAAAAATAAGGTGTTTTCTAAAATTCTGCAAATGATTGGAGGATTGCATGACTTAATGACTCCTATCACATGACTTAATGCCAAATAGCAACAAACAAAGGGGAAAAGTGAAAACCAGCAAAATAATTTTCAGCTTCACAAAAGGCAAGTTTTCAGGCTTTTTTACTCCAAATTGTAAATACCATCGTGCAGGTATGTTTGGAATCAACAAATTCAGCTGTGCAAAAAGGGAGCCTACAAAAGTCCAATGCTGCAAACCCTTTCTAAAGCACAGGAAGAATGTTTTCAGTCATCAAGCATGAGAATACATTCTGATCAGGAGTAGCAAGTACAAAGCCACATTATTCTTCATGGCAGTACATGAATGCCCTTAGCTGCACCTTTCTCAAACAGTTACATGCCAAAACCTAACTCAGTCACATCACACCTACTCCCCTAAAAATGGCAAGTTACCAAGAACTTCCCTTCCCATCATCAACTAAAACCCTAATGTGACCGAGTACAGAAGTCTCTGCAGCCTTCATACACCCACAAGTGGCGACAGCATGCACTAAGAGATGGATTTCTTTGCAAGTAGATCAATGAAACTCTCACAAAGCCACGCTTTGCTGCGTTGGGAAAACTTTCTTCCATGAAAAAAAATAACAAACATGTTACATGAAGCAGCATTTTCATGGGATGAGAACAAGCAGTACATACTGATCTTCTGTTCCAAAAAACTTCACGAAGAAGCACTTTTTTCCACGAGGTTTCTTCAGATCTTTAGGTGGATTAACAATCTGAAGGCAATTACAGGTGAAAGTTAAAATAAAGTACATAATGAAAGACCATACTCTGATTTTACTATCTGGCATTCGAATTTTTGCAGATTTTTAGTTATTTTTACTGCTAACTACGAAGACAACTTGAATCTGCTATAATTCAATGTGTATCCTCATATATACCCTTAGATATGCAGCAGCAGACTGAAAAAAAAAAAAAACAAATGCCAGTTATACATCAGCACCAATCCCTAGCAAGGCTATTCCCAATAGGTAAGCCAGGAATCTTTCTTAACTTTATCAGTCCAAATGGCACTTAAAGGAACTTGTTCCACTTCGCTACCTTAACCATTTATATTTTATATTCTTAATAAGAAAACTACTCTGCAAGTAAAGCGTGAAGTAGTGGTGAAGAGAAAAGCAGCCACTGTCACACAGGTGACACCACAGGGGAGCCTGGACTTAACCTGATCCAAAGACAGGAGTGAAACTAAACGTTTATGGTTGTCAGCTGCATTAATTGCATTTTCCTCTGTGGCATGCTTTTGTGTGAGCACCCTCACACCTCATACATACACCAAAAATAAAAACAAAGTCCTTCAATGGAAATGGTAATTATAAAAAAGTGCCATTTTAAAATCTTTTTGGACTTTCATCAGCAAGAAATTTAAAAAAACACACTCGACATCTGTAATTATTACTTAAATACCACCACTCTAAAACAGTATCTTGAAGGCAGATTCTTTATTTCTATTATTTTAACCAAGTTACTATGGAAGGGAAGAGAAATGCTTTCTGGAAGTTGACAGGGGTTGGTCTGGGGAAAACAATCAGTTCCAGTGCTGGATGAACTGCTTTTCATCACACCTGAGCTAACAGCTCAGTGACAGAGTGAACTTCTACATCAATTAAAACCCCAGTTGGGTCACAGTTCAGATTCATGTGGATGGTATATAAAAAAACAAAAAATGTAAAGCAAAAACTAACACTAATCTCGAACTGAAAAGCTTTCAGGTAAAGCTTTGTCTGTGCAGAGGGAAAAACAAAACCACCAAGAAAACAACAACAAAAAACCCAACTCACCTTTCCTGGCCATGGTGGGTACCGACCCAGCTTCCCCCTAGGGAGAAATGGAAGAATTAGGCAGCAGGAACAGAGACGGGGGGGAAAAAGAAAAATCCACAACATCCCAATTCTACCTCTTTCTATTACATCATGTTTCTCATACTGAGAAATACAATTTATAGTCAAAACCTACCGTGACAGGCAAGGCGCAAGCACTCGACACGGGTACAGATACCTGTACCTGAACTAAGCCTCTATAAAGTCTGCATGAGCTGGCTGCACGATCAGAATTTAAGTCAGAAGAACCAGCAGCAGCACAGCTACTGCCTGGAAGACTGGATGCTACAGCTTTTATTTCTCCTGTAAGACTGGATATTCTCTCACAAGGAACTGAGATAAGCAGTGATGCAGGCAACCAAACTAAAGATTACATTGGTAACTTATATCCCTCAGGACAGAGCAGTCCAGTAGGCACAGAAGGGATGGATGGATTTACAGCTCAGACAGCTGAGATTCTTAGAAGTTCTCACAGGGAAGCACTAATTGGCAGGACCCTGACACCAGGTGTTCCACTGTCACATTTTTCAGATGCTTGCCATCACAGGTGGTGATGTGCTAAAGACAGAAAAGAGCCCAAAGAAAGGCAGAAAAATTTACTTCCTACACTTGTGTGTGTTTCAATTACAGGAACTAAATAAAACTATTTTCTCACAGAGGAGCAGAAGAGACATTAGCCTTAGATCACAACATGCCAGCTTTATTGCTACCTTACCCTTCCCACCTACAGAAGCTGCAGTACTCTCACAGAAGTCATTTGGTTGGTGCCTTGCAAGAAAGCAAGAGAGAATCTGTAGAGTCTGCCAACTCTTAAGCAAAAAAACTCCCAACAAGAGGCATTCCAGCCCCTCCTGAGATGGGAATGTTACCCAGAAGATTCTGTAGCGATGATCAGGCAGAGCTACTGCCAAGAGCTTTAACCAAGCTCACAGCTCATAACTGATGCTTCCGTCCGTGTGCTGAACAAGATGCTTAAAGCTTTTTGTATGTTACTGTCTCATTGCTATAGATCTTCTGCAATGGTGCCAGGGATGGTAGCTGTCTAGTCTGTCACGTACAAAACTAAAGCAGGACGATCTGCATTCCAACACCAAGAGCACTGCACTGCCCAAATGCCTGTTTGAAGCAAATGGTGCTGAAAAGAAGCTTTATTTACTTTCTTGGATATATTAAACAGCTTCACAGCACTGTCCATTTTTCAGATGAGAAATTGCAGCTGTCACACAGCCAGGAGCACACCTTTCTTTTTACCTGAGACAAACATGCAAACCTGGGTGGTGGGGATTAGCTACTTCTTGCAGGCCCTACAGGAAGCCCTAACCTGTCCGGTGAAGCAGAGCCTCAAGAGAGCCTCTCCAAGCACTTGGAGATCAGTGCTTACAGGCCTCGAAGGAATCCCCTCAGTTCTCCCGATCGGGAAATACAAAACCACAGCTCTTCGACTACTGGAAGGTAAAACTGGAGTGACAAAGGGAAGGAGCTTCTGTGAGCTTCAAGGAGAACATCCTAACCTGCAAAAAAAACAAAAAGGTGCTTTCCCATGTTATTGTGCTGCTTGGCTGATGCACTCGTTCACCACCTTACTCGCTTACTTATTTTCCTTCTCGCTCCTCTCGGAAGGAGACCGCATTTCCAGCCCAGCAATCAATGACCGCCCCTCGGTCCCGCTGCCCCACTCCGCCCCGAGCCCCGCTGCCCCCGATGCCGAACCCGGCAGCCGTCACCACCACCGCCGCCGCTGCCATCCCCCGGGGGCGGCGTGAAGAGGAACGGCGAAACTCAGCGCCCGCCTTCCCGAACCCCTCCCCAGCCCGTCCCTCCCCGCCGCAGGGCCTCGGTCTCTCCGTGGCCTCGGGGTGGCACCGCCCGGCCCAGCCCCACCGCCGCGCTCGGCCGAACCGGGCGCAGCCCCGCCGCCGCCCCGCCCGCCTCTGCGCCGCTCCGGGCGGAGCCTCAGCGCCGCTCCCTCGGGCACCGCGGAAGGCGCCTTCTCCGCCCGCACGCCCAATTCGCGCCCCGCCGCCCCACCGCCAGCCCGCACCGCACTCACCACACCAGGTCTCCGAGCCTCAGACTCACGGCCGCCATCTTACCGACACCGCCGCCGCCGCGCAAGGCCTGCCGGGACAGGACGGCACCCCCCGCGGGGCGGGGGGCCGCGGCGGCGCTGATTGGCCAGACGCGGTCACGTGGGCGGGAGGGCTGTCAGCGCCGCTCCCCCGGGGTGTGGCTGCCGCTGCGGCGCCCGTCGCGTTCGGGTACCGCCTGGCTTGGGGCGTCCGCTGCTCTGTGGGCGGCGGTGCCGGCGCCTCGCCGCCCTTTAGAGAAAATCTGTCATCGAACCTGACTGCCCGTCTTTTGGCTTAAAGCCGCTCCCCTTGCTGGGAGTATCTCGTTCCAAACTGGCATTTGTCGATTTAAGCGGACATGTCTGCCCCGCTCCAGCTCCACGCTCCTTTCAGGAGAGATGCGGCACGTTAGGAGAACATTGGATGTTTTAAAGGCATTAACAGCACTTAAAATTGAGTCTTAATGGATTAATTCTGTGCCCTCCTCCTCTGCTCCCTGCCCTACACACATCGCTCCCGCCTGCGGGCTGACAAAAGCTGGCTCTGTACGCCTGACCGAAGGGCGCCACGGCACATCGCGGTGGGTGATTTCCTGCGGGCGGGGCGGGGCCTGCTTCCGGGGACGGGGCCTGGAGCGGGGGCGACTTTCGGGGACCGCCGGAAGCTGCGGGTGGCGGCAGTGTACTGGAGTCGGGGCGGACCTACTTCCGGGGGCGGGGTCTGAGGTGACTTCCGGTGCATGCCGGAAGTCGCGTGTGGCGGCGGTGGGCCGGGGCCGGAGCCGGGTCTGGCGCCATGGCCCGCAAGAAGCTGTACCGCCCGATCGCCGCCATGGCCAAAAAGGTGCGCGAGTATCGGGCGCTGAAGGAGCGGCCGCGGGACTCGCAGCGCTTCGCCCTGGACTACGAGACCATGAGGCGGCCGCTGACGCAGAAGCGGCTGCCGGTGCTGGCCTGGGAGGACGTGCGGCGCGAGCAGCGGCTGTTCTCGTTGCTGTGCCGCCTGCCGCTGTTCGGTGTGGGCCGCGTGGTCACCCGCAAGTCCTGGCTGTGGGCGCACGACGAGCCCTGCTATTGGGTCATCACCAAGGTCCGCGCGGACTACACGGCCGAGGTAACAACGGCGCGGGGCGGGGGGCTGCGGGGAGTCGCGCCGTTCCTCCCCTGAGCCTCCCTGATCTTCATTGCAGGGCATGGACCACGGCAGGGCCTGGGGCCGGCTGACGTTCCGAGGTAAGGCCTCCCCCGAGGGGCGGGGGGCGGCGGGGGCTGAGCAAAGCGGCTCCCGGCCGTTGGTACCAAATGCTGCGGTCCGGCGCTCCCGGAGCGCCTCTGTAAGGCACGTTATGGGGAAGCCGTAACGCGGAGCTCGGGCCCTGCGCTCAGGGCTGAGGTGATGGGTTGTTTGAATGCAAAGCGTGTGCTGAGCACACGGGGATGTGCCAGGTAAAGTCATCCGTGGAGCAGCGGTGGTGGCAGGGCGGCTTCTGGATGGGACTGCAAAGTAACTCTTAAGTTGCATGTGTGAATTTTCCATTTTCCAAGCTGCTTTACATTAGGTTTATAAATCTGGTCAATTAGAGTTTTTGAAACACTTCTCACTCAAAGGTTTTAAAGTTGTTGAGTATTTCTGTCATTGAACTTCACAGTGTGGAGATGTGTTGCTCTCGTTCTTTTCCATGGAAACTAATACAGAAGGAGGGGTGACTCCTTGCATTACAAGTCATGACCTCTGCACAGTATGGAGCAACTTGCATGTGTCTTTTCAGTCTGTTTGTGGTCAGATTTCCAAGGACTGAAGTGGGATCCCATAGTATAGCAGTGAGGATACCGTATGATCTTTTGAAAATTTCCTTTGCTGTTGCTTCTTTCATTATCTGTGGCACAGGAGAGCTGACGCTGCACTTTCTGGAGGGAATCTGTTGCTGAGAGCATTGTCCACTAATGTTCATCATCTTTTATCAGGTAAAACTGAAGAAGAAGACAGAGAGATTGACAAAGTCATGTATCATGACTGGCGTATGGTGCCCAAGCATGAGGAGGAAGCCTTCAAGAAATTTACCCCAGTGCCAGAGGAGACCTGTCGGTACCTTCCATACCCACCTTTGCTCCGAGCCATGATCCTAGCTCAGTGGCAGAAAGAGGGGAAAGAGATCACAGAGGAGCCAATGATTGATCTGCAGAGGACCTCTCAGCTTAAGGCTGCAAAGAAAAATGCTACAGGGGCATCACTGTAACGTCCTGCTCTGTGTCCTGAGCTTCCCACATGCTCTTGCTTCGAGTTGACAGTACATGACCTTACTGAAGACCCCCTTGCCTACTGTGGTACTGTGTATCCAGTTGACCTCGTTTTCTCCCCTGGACTGTATGGTAATCTCTTCTGAAATTAAAGTTGAAGATGCATTTGGATTTTATTTTTTTCCCCTCATAACTTTGGACTAAGTCAGATTCACTGTATACTCCCTGAATTTAGAGCTCCTGTCATCCAGCTACAATGCTTGGGAGCACATTTTCATTTACAGCCTGAAAATCAAGGAGTTTTTTAAGAACATTTTTCAAGTAGTTTAAGTAAGTCCTACATCATGGAAAAATGACTAAGTTAAATATAACATTATTTCACAGAGCCAGAATAAATGATTTCTTATTTCCACGGCATATTTCTAAGAAAATCTGTTCTTTGGTGGGTGATTTATTTAGTCGGTCATGGAGATCAGCATGATGGTTTGCTGGGGTCCAAATTTAGCCTTTAAAATACAGGTAGAGCATCACATTCCTCTTACCCAGTACAGTCTCATCTCATTTACTGACATATAACTGCAATGAACAGCATGGCAGGAGCACAGCTGAACTTTGGATACTGAGCATTATTCCCAGCAAGGGCTGCCAGGAGATGAGAGGAATCATTTTAATTCTGATCACGGAAGATGTACAGGATTAGCTCTTACTATTTGAAGCCAGTTGCAAAATATCATTTGTTCTGGTGCAGCACATTGTGGTGAAAGTTACAAAAATGCATCTTCTTAGCACAGAGCTTATGTTTTCATTTCTTCTCCCAATGGTTGTGGCTTTGGTGCAGCGTCAGGAACCATTGTGGTGAGGGCTTCCAGTCTGGTTGTGTGTGGAGGTGTCGAGAGCTGTTTCAGCTTCCTGCAGTTCAGAATTTGGCACTTTTGTCTGAAAATTGCTGTTGCATTTGCAGCAGCATCCTAAAATCACAAGTTGCCCAAAGGGATTTATTGAAGGAAAGTAAAAGTGTGATTCTGTGCCCTCTGTCTGCATGGCAGGCCTCAATGACACAAGGTAGCGTGGCTGCAGCTGCCAGAAAGAGGCTGTCACCAGCAAACAGATCAACTGCTACCTGTGCTTCACAGGTTTCCTCACCAAAGGCTCATGAAGGCTTAAGATAGATGAGGGCTTTCACATGGGTTAACAGCTGGTCCTATAGTGAGCTGTAGAACAGTTGGGAAGCACTGGGCTCTTGCTCCATAGGGAGCTGTAGAGTTCAGAAGGGCTTTGAAGCAGTGGGAGCATCCATAGGAGGCAAGTCCAGATGCTGATAATGCATTAACACCGCTATGGGGTGAGACATCCAGCTGCAGCTCATCCTTAGTCATGATTGAGGTGCTACAGAAACAGCATGTGCACTGAGGAGGGAGGAGTGGGATGGGGAAACAGATTAGTTCTGGGTTCAGAAGGAGCAATACTACCCTCAGCCCTGCGTGGCCTGGCTGAGCAGCCAGCACTTGCAGTGCCCTCCTCCAGGCAGCCTGCAGTACCAGAGCATCCACCAACAGCCAGAGACAAAGCAAGAAATGGGCCAGGTCCAGGGCATGGACGGGGAGCCTGGGCAGGAGCAGAAACAAATGGGATGGGATCCTGCTTCCAAACCTGGCTTTTGAGGTTCTGCCAGCAGCCCAGGATTGGTGGCCCCATGCCCTGCCATTGTTGTGGACACAGCTCTTGAGACGAGAGGTTTGGGCCTCCCGTGTGGCTCCTGCAGAGCTGCAGGGCAGGTCTGTAGGGCTGCCAGCTGACCCCTGGCAGGGTGTCCTTGAAAAGCCTTTCTGCTTCTTTACCTTTCTGAACACACAGCTCTTGGGCAGCCAGGACTCCTTCTGCTCCAGGTTCCTCTCCCAGAGTTGGTTTACAGCTCCCAGCACACTATAGAAGTCACTTTAGACCTGCAAGGCTTGGCCACTTTTTTTTCCATAATGCTGTGGGCTCTCCCCTGGATTTTCATAAGGGTAGCAGATGGGGACGGCCTATTTAAGCTACAGTGGGCACAGCAGTTAGTACCAAGCGTGCGAGCCAAGTGCTCTGTTCTCAGAGTTTGGCTGCACCAAATTATTTGTGTCACTGCTACCACAGCATGCTGCTATTTGCAATTTTACGTGCATGCTCTTAGGATGCACAGGCAATGCAGCTAATGAGGAAGCAGCTCATCATGCAATTACAGTTGTCTAGGAAGACAGCAGTAGCTGCTCAATGCAGTTCAACATAAAGACTGACAGCTGGGAATTGGCTGAGTCAATACTCATAATCTTAGTAATTTTCACTCCTTTTCTGTCTCTTATCTATTACTGCTGTACATATCCCCTGAATGAATTCAATTCTACAAAATGAGCTAATATAAATACTGCTGGGATTGGGAGGAACAGCTGAACTCGCCTTCTTAAGTGTTGAATGTCACCATTCCTACTGCACTTGGCCAACTACCACCTGGTAACAGCAGGGAACTGACGGAAGATTCCCCACAGCTTATCTGAAGGGGGTCCATAAGGACACAAGTGGACAGACTGCAGCTGAAGGATCTGTCTTTTATTTCTGACACTGAGAGAAGCCACAGTGTGCACTGGCTTCAAGGGCACATGTCTTGCAGGACCAGCACCTCCTGGTCAAACAGCGAGGAACATGCATCTCGTTTCTTGCTAATTGCTGAACGGGAGCCATTCCCATCATTTTAAGTGTCACGATGTTATTAAAGGCTGAGCGGAAATCCCAGTGACCTTTCCAGCAACAAGACGTAGTGGCACTTGCTGATGTTAACACATTTATTACATACAGAACAGATATGGTTTGTTGTTTGATAGCATAGGGAAAAAAGCATGGGAACGTATTCATACAGCGGTCTCTTTACAGAATGCCATCTTCAGACCAAACAGCGGAGTTTACAGGCCTTAAGACACTTTTTAAAATCCTTTTGTAACATACAAGATACTTTACATACATCACAGTGGAGATATGACAGGGAAGTGTGTTGAAGCCAGTCAGTTCTCACCTTGCTGCCCAGCAGCCACCACATCCCAACAGGAGCTGACAGCAGAGGCTGAGCTGGAGCCACCCCTCTGACATGTGTGCTTCTCTTGGAGGAAACCATGCACCAAACTGGGAAGGAACCTGTTGGCAGAGGCCCGAGAGTGGTTTCCTTATGTTGCCATGGACCAGTGGGTGACAGAAGACTGAATATTGTCACTTTTACTGCTAAAACCAGATAGAGAACAAATTGTAAGAGGTAAGAATGTTGCGATCCTGTATTTTTACGCTGAAGGGTTGACACACCTAAAGAATTGGATTTGCCATTAAATGAGACCAAATTATGCCATTTTCCTGGCTTTAACTGTTAGATATCTGTGGAATCTGCTGTCTAAACATCTGTTATTGCACCCTGTGCTGTGACCTAGAAAGCCTGTTCTAGCAGAAAGCATTCTGGGGATGTGAGTGAGCAATCCATGGTCAGCATTGCCCCAAGTGAGATGTCTCCTCTCAAATATTCCCCTCTACATGAGCAACTGCTTGCAGAATCAGCCAAATACAAGCCACAGATCCTGGCAAGCTGCTGGCTTGAAGATACAGCCCAGCTGGTTTCCTACCTCTGCAAGGGTCTGCACGTCACCAGCTGCTCAGGCAGTGTGGGCAGCACTGTGGCCCCATAATTTGATGGCTGAGGCCTCTGCACTCTGGGTACATCCTCTTGCCTCCCTGGATGGGAACTGTGTGCCCCAGCCTGTTCTGAACTGAGGATCCAAAGAGCATTTCAGTGCTGCTGAATGCGGACAGGTGTTAAAGTTTCCCCAGTGAATGCTGTGTTCCTGCAGCACACAAACAGCTGCAGACCACAAGGCCTGGGGGCAGCCTGGGCCATGCCAACAAGCACAGGTCACATTCCTCAGAAATGGAGGTGGACATCCCTGGGAGATTCAGAGTGCTGCACAGCTCGGAAACCAGTAAGACAGCCACCAGAATCTTCTAAATCCACTGCTAACAGGTAGCCTTTGTAGAGAAAGGACTGTTGCAACTGTCAGAAAGGGAAAATAAACCACTGCCTCTGCATCTGGAGCTGCCACACTTTGAATATGGAGCTTAAAACTGTTCTCCCTGGCTGCATTTTTGGCTGCTTCTCCTATAAGCAGGACACACAGCTTGCACAAGGAGCGCAGTCAGAATTTCTCTCAGAGGCTGTCATTCTTTAGAGGAGTAACAAAGACCCAGCTTTTCAAACTACTCACTAACAAAGTCAATCAGTGCTTGTGATGTTGGCTAAGAGGAGCTGGGAGATCTGGCCTCAATTCCCTTATCTGCATAACCTCAGGCAAGAGACAACAGCCTGTACACCTTGACTGCACCTACAGTCTTTCCTAACCTGACAGCCACTGTGTAAAGGAAAACAGCCACCTCCTTTCAGCAGGATGCCAGCAGTTCCCAGCAGGATGGGAACCTGATGAGTCGAAGTAATCTCAGTGTGTTAATGCAGAATTCACAGCACGCCAACGTTATCTGCTGTCGCCTCTATTTTAAAAGCCAATAAATCCTATGTAGAGATAACTTTCTCCTAAAGCTTTCAGGCTCACAAAACGAATGAACTCAATTTTTTCTGCTTGACATTTTTTTGGAGAAGTGAGTTAAAATATCACTGCCTTTCCCCCCTTTAAAATAACAGGGTTCCAGTACTTCTTTGTTAATAGTTTTGAAAGGCCCCATGGCCTCCACAATCAACCATCTGTCACCCACCTGAGCCTACCAAACAATCCCCTCTGGACACACGCAGTCACCCAGCACACTACTGCTATGATAAAAGCAGCAGAAGAGGAGGGAGACTTTCCATCTGCAAGTGTGGAGGATGTGTTCCCCACACTGATGGCCCCGCCACCTTCTCCAGCCAAACAGCAAAAGCGCTTCCCAACCTCGACATTCCTTTCTACTGAAGGCTCCTTGGACCTGGCTGCTGTCAGTCTGTGGGATATTATTCTATGCTCGAGTGCTCTCTGTGCATAGTGGATAAGGTGGAAAGTCCACTGGTGAACAAGGAAGGATTTCTTCTGGGGTGCTGTAGGAGCTGTGATCCTCCATCACTGCTTTGGCGGGGATGCCAGGGTGCTGTACTACTTCTCATGCAGGTGGGAGCAAGGCATCCTGCTGGACAACCAGACCCACCACCTGTCCAGCTCCCCAGCCTCAGGCAAAGCTTTTGCACAGCTCTGGCTCCAAGCTTCACTTTATCAATGCACTGCCATTTCTCTCCTTGTAGACGCCAGCTTCAGAGCAGAACAATAATCCAACCACGCAGAAAGCTCATGGGCCCAAGATGAAAGCTGCAAGTTCAGAGGTTACAAAGGGGTCACAGTCCGAGGCAGGAGCCGCTGCAGTTGTCTGGGGTCGGTTTCCAGCAGTAGGTTTAATGCAGGTGTTCTGTATGTACATCGTGGCATTCAGGCGGGAACAGGGACACTTACATCAGTAGGAAAGGAGAAATTCTCACTCTGGGATATAGGATACCTGCCACACAATAATGTGGCTCCTTTCTGCCTTAGAAAGTACTGGCTTCACCTGGGTGGCATCTCCTGCATTCTCCTCTGTCTCATCATCTTCTCCATCCCCTGAAGACAGAAAGCAGAGTAAAAAAGGCTGGAAAGAAAATCCCAAGCTACACTGCCCTGGAATTGTTCAGAGGAAGTGAATATCTGTGCTACAGTCTCTGCAGTCTGATGACAGGCAGCAGGATTGAGACCTCCCTGCATGCCTGGAGAACATTTATAACGGCATGGTGCTTTTCTGAAATGGACTTCTGTAAATGGAACAAACTGTCTCCAGCAAAATGGAAAACCACCTTTGGGGAAGCCAGTGTTTACAACAGAGTGCCCCAGAACAGCACAGGTGACTCCAGTGGGACGGCAGTGTTTGCAGCCAATGGCATAGATGTTTTTATTTTTCCAGGGCCATTAATGCTGACTGCAAAGCACTGCAGGCACAGGCAGGGGGAAGGTTTGGCAGCTTCATACTGTGGAAGGAAAATACTTGCTATCTGCCACCACAGCAGGAGGTAAGAGAAAAACAGCCCTGCTTTTCAGATTTCTTTTCCCACAGCAGTGATCCCTCTCCTTTACAAATAATTCCTCTGCACCCCTTCCAGTTCCACACCCCACTCCTTCCCCCCCACTGCAGTCACTCACCGATCCGGAAATCAATGTACCCTTCTCCTCCACTCAGCACCAGGACATTCTTCAGCTTCTGCCCCTCAGTCTCTGTGGCTGCTGTGCTGGGGTTCTCCGAGGGGCTGTCCAACACGCTCCCATTCAAAGTTGCTAGCACATTGCCTGGGACAGGACAGAGGTGCCATCAGTGCCTCTGCTCAGCCCTCAGGCACTCTGAGAGACAAACACGACTGAACAAGCCAGTTCCTTCTGCTGGTGAAATCTCAAAGACAACCACAGTTTGAGCTACCAGTGTCTGAACCGCAGTGATCTCCAAATGCCAGAAACTGGCAGCTTTCTGCTGCAGGTCAGCCTAAGCTCCTGCCTCAGAAAGGCCAGCACTAACAGACCCTCAAGAAGAAAGGCTGTGCTCATCCTTACCAGGCACAGAGACAAAGAACTTGACAGCATCACGGTGACCATGGAAACAGAGCTGTGCCTGAGCCATGGAGCAGTAGGGAATAAAACTGCTGGCAGATTTGTCGCTGTTGTCATCACCGTACACGTGGATCACCCCTCCAGAGCGGCTGCCCTCTCCAGAGGTGGGGGAGGTCTTGTTGGCTACGGACAGGAGAAGGAACATTGTTAATGATACTTTTGACCCCATTTACAGAAGGGCCACAATTAAAAAGAAAACTCATGAGCCATGAAAGAAAACCTTTATGGATTCAAATCTCTTAAAAGGTCTTATAGAATAAAATGGTTCAGCTGGGAGGACCTTCAAAGATCATCTACTCCAACTGTCTGTCTGCTTTGGGGCTAATCAAAACTTAAAGCATTTTATTGAGGGCATCTCAATACACAGTCCAACATCTCATGAACACTGACAGGCATGGGACAGCTCCCCACTCTCTAGCAAGTTCCAGTGTTATTCTGCCCTCATGGTAAAGAGATTCTTCTTGATTCCTAGTCTGAGCCTCCCTGGCACAGCTCTGGGCAGCTCCCACACATGCTGTCCTTGGCTCCCAGGTACAGAGCACAGCACCTTCCCCTGCTTCCCCTGCTCAGGGTGTGCAGAGCAGACAGGTCACTCCCAGCCTCCCATTCTCCAGACCAGATGGCCCAAGGCCCCCAGCCTCTCCTCACAGCACATGCCTCCCAGTCCCATTACCAGCTTTGTTGCCCTCATCTGGATGCTTTCAAGCACCTTAACATCCTTTTTATATTGTGGAGCCCAGAACTACACCAAATGTTCAAGGTGAGGCCACACTAACACTAAGTACAGCAGGAGAACCACCTCTTTTGACCTGCCAGCTATGCTGTGACCCAACAGACTCCAAAATACAGTTTGCTCTCTTGTGCCAAGGCATCCTGCTGGCTCACGCTGAGCCTGCTGTCACCACCTAGATCCCTTTTTGCTGAGCTGCTCTTCAGCTACTCATCTCCCAGGCTCTGCTTGTGACCAGTGTTGTTCCATCCTGGGTGCAGACCTCAGCATTTTCCTTTGCTGAACTTCATGCTGTTGCTCCTTGCCCAATGCTCTATCTATCTAGAGCCCTCTGCAAGGTTTCTCATCCCTCTGAGGAGTCAAAAGCACCTCCTAGCAGAGTGCCATCACGGGCTGAGGATGCACTTCAGTCCTACATCCAGATCACTGATAAAATACTGAACAGAAGAGACCTAGAATTGAGCCCAGAATTATGTGAGGGTTATGCTCATAGGATCCTTAGAGTTGGAAGGGACATTTAAAGTCCAACTCCCCTGCAATGCACAGGGACACCACAGCTAGATCAGGTTGCCCAGGGCCTGATCCAGCCTGGTCTTGCAAGTCTCCAGAGATGGGGATCCACCACATCTCTGGGCAACCCATTCAGTGCCTCACCACCATCACTGTAAAACACTTTTTCCTTTTATCCAACCTAAATCTACCCTCTTTGAGCTTGAAACCATTTCCCCTTGCTCTATCACCACAGACCCTGCTAAGGAGTCCATTCCTTTCTTTCCTGTAGCTCCCCTGTAGATACTGAAGGCCACTCTCAGGTCACAGCCTTCTCTTCTCCATGCTGCACAGCCCCAGCTCTCTCAGCCTGTCCTTACAAGAGAGGTGTTCCATCTCTTGGATCATTTCTGACGTGCTCCAACAGGCCCATGTTTCTCTGTACTGAGGACTCCACATCTGGATGCAGAGCTCCCTTGACCTGCTGGCCACACAGCTTTGGATGCAACCCAGTCCAGGTTGGCTCTCTGGACTGTGAGAGCATAGTGCTGGTTCATTCCTGCTGCCATCCACTAGTGCCCCCAGGTCCTTTTCAGCAGGACTATGCTCCATTCTTTCATCTCCCAGCTTGTATTGGTAGTGGATGTTGCCTTGACCCAGGTGCAGGCCTTTTGCACTCGGATTTGTTGAACTTCATGAGGTTCTCCTGAGCACACTGCTCAGCCTGTCTGAGTCCCCATGGATGGCATCCCATCCCTGTAATGGAGCAGACCATAGCAGACTGTACAGTCCCTCTCTGTTATGCTGGTTAAATCCACTCATAATAATAAACTACTTTTTTTTACTTGGCTGTTAATGATGCACACTTCCCTGGTGGTGGTGGACAAGAGTAACCCTAGGGCACACAAGACAAGGCCTCTTGGGTGCACCAATAAAGGCCTCTTTCCAGGAACAATCCTGTCCAGCCTTCAGAAGTCACTTACTGTCCTAGTGATCAGCCTTTGGGACTTGGCAACGTAAGCAAATGTATCCACTGTACCTGCAACACAATCAAGGCTCTAGTCTTCCATACACCTGGAGAACTACTGCTATTCTGGGGACTGAAGTTGCTTCCAAATCAAGTCCTTTGCTCACGCCAAGCTGCTTTTAGCAGCCTCTGTGTCTGGCAAAGGCCTCTCAGTCCAGCAAGTGTCAGAGCCAGCGCCGTCCTTAGTCCTTGATTTAGAAGATCAGCTACTCAAACAATGAACATCAAAAAGATGTTCAACATCCACAGCATCCAAGGACCTCAAGGTGAGCTCAGAGCAGGTCTGTGCTTTTGGAGTGGGAAAGCTTCCACTCATCAGGGAAGAAAACAGTGCTCAGAGGTGAGGACAGGAAATGCTTTCCTTCTGCATGTGCCCACATCAGTAAAACAAATAGTACTAAAATCAGAAGGCTTTCACTTCTTGTTTACTTACAGAGCGAAATGAATTGCTTACTTACTATCTGTAGCTCTGTATGTTGGCTTGGGCTGGCTTTCAGTTATTAAGAGGCTCAGGAACAAACCTAGCAGATTTGCAATGGGACGCTGAGGTAAGTACAAATATTTGGATGGAGGAATGAGAATCAATGTGTGCTGGGGGAAGATCCCTGAGATGAAAGCTTTCTGCACCTCTGTGCTTTGGTTTACTGAGGGCAGACAGAACTGGCTGAGCTCCAGTAGACAGGGCTCTTCCAGCTCAGTATCTGGCTTCTCACAGCGGCCACTACCAGAGGCTTTAAAAGGAAGAGAGATGCACCAATAATGTTTCTGGACAGGAGCATCTTACAATGAGAAAAAACACATTCTGTCTCTAAAAAGGCTGAGGCAAGTATAAATCTGAACAGCGAACTCAGACCTTGCTTTAACTGACACAACCAAACAATTCTCAGTATTCATCCAAGATCTTCTTTTAAGTGTTGGTTGACTACTTGCAGCTGGCAGGTGTCAAAGCACTTCCTACCACTGGCCAGGAAACTGATGTGAGATGTAGCCTCGGAAAACCAAAGATGACCAAGGATGACCTTGGAAGAACAGTGTGCTCCTGCTTCCTGGAGCAGGATGAATAAATCCTCACAGTCTCCAACTCAGACCTGGCCTACCAGAAAGGCAGTACTGAATAGTACCATATAGTAAAGTACTTGATAGAAAAAGCAGAGGGGTGGCTGATGAGATGGATGAAAATGTTTCAGTCTGTAGGAAATGATCGTATTTACATTATTGTCTCTGGTCACTTATCTCACTTGACTAACTTAAAATGAAAGAGATGAGGAAAGATGGATGGGGAGAGCTGAATGGCAGGATGGAAGAGTAGGAAAGTGACTGCAAAGGTGAACAGCTGCAGAAGTGAAAGCTGAAGGAAGGAGGCAATGGACTTACCCCGGAGCCCAAGGAGTTGGCCTCGGTGGAGGACTACAGCTAGGCAGAGGCAAGGAGTGGGAACACAAAGGGGCACGGGAAGAGACAGGAAGGATGGGAGAGAAGAAAAAGGTGATTACTGGGAGAAAATTCAGGTAGCAACAGAAATGTATATACTTGGAGAAACCACATGAGCTACGGGCTCGATTAATTTGTACCAACACTGTTCCTGCTCTTTTTACTCTTATCTTACAAAGACAAATGAAGTATCTGAGACAGATGAAGGTCCTTGGTCACAAAGATCTATTGCTAACGTTTCTAGTGAAGGTTTACAGCTTATCACATCTTTAAAGAAACACTAAAAGATAATACAACTGGCTTACAGCAGGGAACAAGCATCAATTGGAATTATGACAACAGCATCAGTCCCAGGGGATGTTCAGCTCCAGTGGCCTTAGAGCAGACGACTTCAATTCTGACTTCCAGAAGGGCCACAACAGGTTTGCCCCTTTTACTCGAGAGCCATTTGCTTCTCAGCTTTCCTGCCAGCACTGATGAGAAAATGTACATCTCGCTGCTTTCCACTGAAAGGAGCTGCAGTCAGCCTCAAGTCCTACTCCTTGTTATATTTTGAAACAGACCTTCCACCACGAAAAATTAGATGATGACTGGCAGGTACAGAACAGGCTTATTGAGAGCTTCAATTAAACTTCCAGTGCTGTAAACGTGCCTTTCAACAACTGCTGTTACTGCACTTGTCTTAGGATACCAATTTCTACTTGATTAATAAAAACTGAACTCTAATTTGAGACAATGAAGCTTTTTCTAAGGTCAATTTCTGCAAAATATTCTCATAGACATCTGAGCATCTCCACACCAGATAAAAATTTCCAGGGAGATCTTCCTGGTGTCTTCTCATCCCCCAGCCTCCTCCTTTCAGAGACTTGCTACAATTCCCAACTCTGTTTCTCCTGCTTTTCAGTAGGTACAGAATCAGTTCACAACCATCTGCTGTCAAGCTCACCCTCAAAAGAGAAGGCTGTACAGAGGGTAGAGATGACATTGGAACCCATGAGAAATATGCCTTCAACTGAACTGAAAAGGAACAGTAATAAATCTCTATTTGGCTTTAAACAGGTTAAATCCATTCAGCTGAACACTTAATTACATAACTAAGGAAGAGTTAAATCAAGGCCTGGGTCACTCACGCTCAGCGCTCTTCTCTCTGAACACTTTGTCAAGTTCAAAATAAAAGTGTCCAGAAAGTATTAGCCCACCAAAGCCATCTGCCAGAAATCACCAATTACACCAAAGCACTGCTCTTTTCAGGGGACACAGAAAAATCTCTGATAAATGTCACTTACTCTCAGTCAATGGAATGGAGATGACAACACCGTTCCCTGTTCCCACCCAGAGACGATTGCCAGCAATGAGCAGGGCTGTAATCCGTACAAATGAGAAGCCCAATTTTCCAGTACCTGTAAGCACACACAAGAGTGGGAGCATCAGTTAAGTCTGTATGACTTTTCGGCAATGTCTGCTAATGAATTTTCATTTCTCTCTGATCTCAGTAAGCAACAGACCACTGCGAGGAGATCCCTACTGCCTCACCCAGCATCTTGCTGACATAAGGCTCAATGTCAACATCCTGCAGATGTTGATGGCTGTGGGCGTGGTAAAGCCTCAGGGTGGAATCCAGGCGGATGGAAACCCACACTCCATCTCCAATCCACGCCAGCTGTCGCACCTGGCTCTCGCGCCGAGGGTGGGCATCAAAGGACTTCTGAAATGACACATAAGTAGAGCAATGCAAGTTTACAAAAGGTTTTCCAATTATCTATACGTATATTCTATTTTCCTTAACAGAGATTGCTTGTTTGGGTTAATGTATTAATGCCACATGACCTCAGAAGTTCAATATAGGGTACAGATGATGCTGTATCAAACAATGAGTTTCATGGTGCAGAGCAGTAGCTCCACAGAGAATATTAACAGTCTTTGCATGCCACTTTGGGAGCAAAAACATTTAGAAACCAGCAGCTCCACGAGAAATTCTGAAGATCAGCAAGCTGCCTTCAATCACTGATGTGAACTGTAGCTCCAACACTTCTCTCTATGAGTAAATTACTCCACATACTGTTAAGCATGCTTGCACTACCACCATTGTACTAAACAAATGTTTCAACCAAAAGGATCTGAGTATTCTTATTTTTTTAATTAGGCAAGGTGAACCACTTGGGCTTGCTGACTTATTCTTCCTTCATGCTACAATGCTTACAGATGGAGAAGTCTTAGACCGTACATGAAGGCAGCTGTAATGCACAGACATGTACGTACAGCATGTGAGCCCAGGCTCTCACTAACAAAGGCAAAGACAGTGCTCATTTCAGACTTTTTGCAAGATTCAATCTCTGCCAAAGGAGGAAGGAATAAACACCCCCCTGGCAGACTGGGTCTCAAGATAACCCTAACTGGAGTTTGATAGTTTTCATCCCAGTCAGTACCAACAACAAGTGAGTTCTGTGTTTCCATACTCTGCAACAGAAAACAGATAGAAGAATAAATACAAGTATCTGTGTGCATACACGCACACATTTGCTCTCTTACCTCAATCTGCATTGTCTTAGGTTGAATAACATGGATTTTGTTCTTGTAGCCACACCAGACTCTGTCATACACAACAGCCATGCAGCGGATAGAATGATGAGTGTGACCAAGGTCCATTAGGTGGTAATTACTGAGATCCCACTGACGATCTAAGGTGAAAAACAAGTGCAGAAAGATGCATCTCTGCCATTCCATTTATATCTAGATATACTAGGCCTAGCTGATACTTAAAAGCTGATCTTGCTTATGTCTGTGAACTCCCATTAGCACATGATACTGCTTCAGGCACAGCCTTATAGTTAGCAGGCACATGACAAAGCTTAGTTTGGTAGGCTAAAAGCCCTCCAGCTCAAGCTAATTTACAGATCCTTTTACAGTAATGAAGTGAACAGTCTTCCTTAACAAGTACAACAAAATCTGAAGGGGAAGCAGAAAGACAAACTAACAAGACTCTGTGGAAACTTAAAAGCAAATGGAGCACACAGTTCTTTATGGTGAGGCTGTCCCATTGCACACACAGACAACATGATTTCCATGAAGCGTCAAATTCAGGATAAGGAATCAGATTTTTCTTCTGTTGTTCTTACTTTCTACCTCATCAGGTAGATACTGTCTTTTGCCTCTAGGTGATGAAGCATTATCATATTTCTGATGGGAACATTTAGAGCGTGTCAATGGTCAGGCTTAGACTCATGAAAAAGCATGAATTGAAAATTACATTGCACAAAACCAGAATATCTGGTTGATAAACTGTAACCCAATGAACATCTGATAAATAAATTCTTTGTAAGCAAACATTATTCACAATTTGCAAATTCCTCTGAGTTGTATGAGCACAGCTCAGGAACTGCTGAAATTATAGGGAAACAAAATCTGCAACAGCAAAGAGGACAAGAGATACAGAATTAAAAAAAATGTCTTGAAATGAGAGGATTAAGGCACGTCAGTTTCCTCAGACATCTTTTCTTTATCACAGAAGAACTGGCCAGGTGCAATATAAAAGCTCTATTTATTTGGGACTTCCAGGCTTCCAGAAAATCCTAGCTCCATCCTTCTGCATACACAGAGACCAATTCCACTACTGACACAGATTCTAACTTCCCTGCACTGCACAGATGATCTGCTCAGGCACTGCCTCCCGGAACTCCCTTCACATGAACTGTATAGCTGATCTGTGAATGCCCAGTAATACATTCCTCAAGCAACTGCACAGTGTATGTGCTCCTAGGCATGTTGCATTCGTTCCACCTATGGTAGATGGCATTTCTGCACTTTTTTTTTTCTTTTCAGAAAACCTCAGGAAATGATGTTGGAATATGTTCTAATATATATGGAAATGTCTGGAGATGTTTCAGGATATGGGTTATGGGTGTATAATAGCTATGCCTTTTAACCATGTGTTTGTACTCTGGCAATCTAGCACTTCTTCTTTCTTGACTTGGAATACTACTTAAATAACTGCCACAGTCTTGACCAGCTTGTTTTTCTTTTATTACACTAATCCTTACCTTCTCCTCGGTGGAATATGGCCAGTGTTCCATCTGCCAGAGCAACAAGGACCCTTCCTTTCACATGCCTGGAATCACAGGACAGGAAAAATTATTAAAAAAACTCTGTGGAGAAAAAGGACTTAACAGATCCTTTCTGATATCCAGGCAAACCATTCTTATGTTTTCTCTAGAATTTCCATTCAGTTTTAGACTTGCTGGAACAGCCTATAAGGGCTCAGAGTCCAATCTCTTACCTTGTGCATAGTCAGATCATCAAACAATTTCCTGCTGAGTTTAACTTTTCTTTCACACTATCAACTCCATCAATTTCAACAGATTCCACCCTATTTACTACCCTTCTCAAATTTTCCTCTTCTCCTTCCCGCTGCTTGTTTCCACCTGATACTATAGATACATTGTAGTACCTTCCTTATTTACTATATTGGCTCACGTCTGTAACTGTATAGGAAAGTGACCCAGCAGGAGTCCCAGGAAAACTTTCTTGATAAATCAATGCACTTAAGAGTAAGAAAAAAGATGACTGACAAAAAACTACCACTCCCAAGGAACATACTGCTTAGGCACTGAGCATCCTCCTTCAGTGTCCCTTGGTGTGTGTACTTACACTAGACTCAGCACGGAGTCCTTTAGCTTTATTGAGTGCAGACACTTCTTCCAGTTAGATACAGCAGAGTGCACGTAAAGCCTGGGATAAAGGACAAATCAGAGAGGATTAGCAGCAAGGCCACACATCTTAACACTAACCAGGCCTGAATTTTTTCTTCTGGTAGGACAGGAATGTGCACAGTTAAGTGAAGTTACAGCGCCCATTATGAGCTGAGGACTCAGAAACAGTAATGAATACTTACTTTAGAAACAAAAAGCAAACTAGATGTGTAAGGACATGAAAAGTGGAGGCCAGAGGACAACCGAGGCAGAGAATCTGCCAAAGGGGAACCTACCAGCCATTCTGTGCTCCCAGCCACATGGTGGGGGCAGCACTGGTGCATGTCCCAGCAGCATCCCCATTTAGCTCCTGATCTGGCAGTGCTGTGCTCGACTCTGTCTTCAGCTGCCCATTCTCTCTTAAGGGGCAAAGGAAGGTTGTTAGAGGCCTTTAACTGTAATGCACAGAATGCTCACCTGCACTCACAGGCTGGCACTGCACAAGCAGATAAAGACACTTGTACACACATAACACATCCCTCCCCTCAGTGTTTTTCAGTTCTTTGGCTCCTGAATATGCAAAATTTCCTTTCCCATCTTCTGACAAAACAAACAGCCATTACTTTATGGCCAAAGAAATTAACTTAGTGTTTGGCAGTAATTTTCTCTATCTAACAATTTCTGCTAATTTTCAGCTCCAACAGAAATCACTCAGAACAACCTCTTAACCCATCGTATCAGGCACGTTTATCTTAAAAATTTTGGGGCACTGACTATGCTTTCTTCATCATCATTACAGCACTTCAGAGTTACTGCTGGAATAAACAAATGATCACACATGGATCAAAAACCCCCTTTGGTAAGAACATTAAGTGCATGTGCATTTTGGAATATATGTCTAAATTATCATCAAGAGATCAAATAATTGCTCTTCAACAGCTGACACAATCTGCTTCTGCCTGAACCGTACTTTACTTTTATTTCTTCCTCCCGTCATCATTCCATCTGGAATACTATTTGGACACAAAATTGAAAAAAGTTTGACACTTTATGAGAAGATCAAGCTTGTTCTCATAAGCAGCTTATGAAAACAGAGCTGAAGTTAGTAACTGAAGGGACACAATGGCCCCAGACAGCCTACCCGTTCTGACGAAGAGGTGCCTGTACAGGGACTGGGTCCGTAAACACGTGCTCTGTGAGGGGTCCAGAACGGGCTTGAATGGGCTCTGTCTCACTTGTACCATTCTCTGGCACCTCTGTAGCTTCTGTTGCCTCCTCTGTAGACTGAGATTGGTTGATCTTCCCATTGCAGACTGCAGCCACTTCACCTAGGAGACAAAAAACAGTGTGAGGTGCACAAAGAGCAGGGGGACCACGCTGAAAGCTAGCCAGAAAGAAATCATGTTTTAAGTTCTTTCACTTTATCCTTATTTGTAAATTACAATCAAACCCAAAGACTGCATCACAGACAGAAGCTCCTCTAGAATGTCTGCTGCTCTGGGAGGAAAATATAGGCAGTTTTCCAGAGAGGCACCACTCAAGCTTAACAGAATATCAAGAGTTCTCCAAGGCTACCCACAGTAGTGGGTAATCAGTAGTATGTAATCAGCAATACGTAATCAGCAAGAGCATTACTACATTTTCATATAAGCTTACATGACTTGAAGACATGGTTGAGAGGAAAAAGCAATTAGAACAGGATTTAGGAGAGCTAACATCACCTACTCAAAATATTCTGTTATACTAACCCCACAACTAGGCTATGGATCACTCAGAAAAGGATGGCTCTAAAGGAAAAAGTACCAAATGGGCTTTGGATATCATGTACTGCATTAAGAAATGTCTTGAAATCTCTGAAATAGTTAAGTCAGAGGCAGAAGGATGCAGCTGTAAGACCAGAAGATCACACAGAACTAGCTATTTATGGCTACCATTAGGCTTTATATCCCAAACTCACTCTGTCCCTTGTCCAGCACAGGTGTGTCACCACGCGAGGAACAGTTGCTTCGTGGCACATTGCAGCGAGTTGCACAGCCCACCAGAGTGATTCCTGCCAAGACACCATCTGTTCCAGACGACTCTTCAGGATTTACATCTCCCTCCAGAAAGATCTCTCCTGGAGGATAATCACTCTCACTGGCCGCTGAAGGGCAAAGAACAGATTCTCCCATAAATCTAGCAGTCACTGCCAACCTACACATCCCAGTAGTCCTGAGGTCACCATATGGTTGGATGCTGATACTCAGGGTTCACTAGCCCCAGGGAGGGACCACAGCATCAGCCAACACTGTAACGAATCCCCTCATTCCAGTGTCAACTATCACACTAGCTACAGAGCCCTCCAAACCTGAGCAAGGCTCACTCTTCTCCCCAAGAGTCATCCTTTGCATGCCAAAGGAGTCACTTACTAAATGCTCAGAAGTGAAGAATCTCCACAAGATTCCACTTACAAGAAGACAAGCTCTGGAGTTATGCTTTTGAGGGACAATTACAGAATGCAGCAGCTTCCAAAGGCCAACTCTGAAGTGAGGATGCTACATTTGTCACTCCTTAGCTGAGCAGGTTGTGACCTTGTGCAGACCACAGCCAGTGGTGGAACACTACTTACCGGGGATGCTGGAGATGCAGAGCACATGAGCATTGCAGACAGTGAACTGGTCCACCACTGTGCCAGGCTGATTGGCATCAATGATTACAACTTTACTTGTTGACAGGGTACTGGTGAGGATCCAGACACGACTGGACGTGGCATCCATTTCATGGAACTCCTTTGCCTTCAGGAGAGCAAACACAGGCAAAATCAGTGCTCCCCTCAGATCAGACCAAGCATGTTCTTGCTTGGCAACATTTGTGCATGCAAAGATCACAATACCAATTCCAAAGATCCCACTCTCCTCCTAGCTGGTGCAACAGAAGCAAAGCAAATTTTCTTCACATTGCTACACTTCTATCTGGAAGAGCGGCCAAAAGCCTGTATGGCTCCTAGGGCCAGGGGAATTCAGCCATTAATTTCTGAGCTATTTGACTAATATCACTGAACATTCACTTTAGACAGAACACCATGAAGCTGGGATGTGCTCAAGCTGTCAGCATAAGCAAACTGATCACAGACAGTGTAAGACAGCTGTGACAAAATCCACAAACCAGGAAGGAGAAAATGTTGTATCTGTGTATATATATATAAAAATATGTATATATATACATATTTGTACACTGTAAGTCTATCTTAAAAAACGCTTAAGATAACATTTGAAAAAACAGAGCTGTAATCAAATCTCAAGAACTTCAAATGAACTCATGGATTTTGCTATGTTTATGTTCTTCTTGAAGCATTTTTTGTTGTTTGGTTTTGCGTGGTTTTTTTTCATTTATAGTGATGAGACTACTCTGTAGTCTTCCTAGCAACTTCATCAGTCCTTATTGTTTTGGTCCTACAATTACAGTCCTACAGTTTTGGAATTCCAAAAACTGACAGTGGAAAATTCCACCCCAAATGACTTATTTATGATTTTATTATTATTATATATAAATAAATTTCACAAGAGTTCATAAGAGAACCCCACCAAACTTTCCCAAATAGCCAATACCTCTGAATGACTACAGCAGTACTGACAGCAGAAGACTTCACTCAGAGCATTACACAGTGCAAAGACAGTGCAGAGAGACAGGGAATGTAAGAGATGGAATGAGAAATAACACTGAAGATAAAAAAAATCTGACCTTTTTCTTTTCAGGAGATGTATGGTTACTTTTGTTGTTCTCACCCTCCACTTCCCGATCACAGGTGAGAGGATCCCGTCCAGGATCCAGTTTCTGCCCATTCCCAGCCTCCTGCTCCAATGGTCTCCATCCAGTGAGATTGACTCCAGCTGCACACCAGAGCTGAACAACAGAAATGGAATCCTAAGCCCACACTGCTTAGCACACATACCCAACACCTAAAACACTGAGCTGGAAACAACAGGTCTTGCTGATTTCTGCTAGGAGATGCAGTCAGACTAAATGGAATAACAAAGAGGATCTCTGCAACCTCGTGAAAACCATTTTGATTTTTAACAGACGTGACTAATGTTTAAAGAAAATAAATATAAGAAATCAGGTACATAACTGAAACAGGCTTCTGAAACGTCCCCCATCTGACTCTGGTGTTCCCAAGGTAGCGTAGCAAAGCAAGCAGGACATGGCAGTTGTTTCTAAATAGTTTGGGGTACAGTAAGAAGCACTGTACTCAACCAAAGCCTGAAGTCTAAAAATCAGCTCTAAATCTTGGTGAAGTTAATGACAGACTGCTTATTTGGAAACAACCAGTTACAGCATAAATTTGTGTTACTTACAGAAAGAGGATCATTTATTCTTAATTGCAATTCTAATGAAAATATTCCAGTATTCATAGACACAGCTTCCCAGAAGACTCCCTTAGCTAATTTTGGCCTGTAATCAGTGATTCCTGATCAGTGGTGGAACTCAAAGGAAGGGTGATGAAATGTGTTTTTGCTTTAACCTGCTCCTTTTCATGAATTTTTACATTGCTTTGTATTACATCTGTATGAGACTTATCAAAAGCCCTATTCCTAAGTATTAAGTGTTGTTGATATTATGGAAGAGACGCCTCGAAAAAAAACCAAAAAAATGTAAGACAAATGTGGGACCTGGCACTGAAAATCACCTGATAATTATGTATGAGAGGTACTTTTCCCCACATATTCTAGAAACTACTTGTTTCAAAAAAGAAGCAGAAGATAACATTTGGAATGAAAAAAATGCAGACTGTCATCAAAATTGCATACATTGCAAATAAATTCTGCTTATTCCATGCCCCTTTCTGTACTGGAATGGCATGCAACAGCAACATACCTTCATGGTTGGGTCCTTCTCTACAAGTGGGCGACAATATACAGGCACAGGGACATTTTTCATGCGAGTATCTTCCTGACCACCATTGGGGCTCAGCTGTGGGAAAGAGAAAACAGAAAAGACAGTACCAGGGCATAAACACCAGGCCGTGGCGCTGTCAGAGCTCTAACCAACAGGGCAGACCAATCTTCTTAGCTTCAGAGGTGGTTGTCAATAGCAGCTGTTGCTTCGTCTGACATCATGTATGAAAATGTCCCTCCCTACAGGGATGGGAACTTGAGAGACCATCTCTCCCACCATGGTACAGTGTCCCAGATATGGCCAGCCAAGGCTGTATGCTGTACTGATGAAAGACAAAGGTTTTGTTGAAGTACACTCCCTGGGCAGAGGCAGAACACTGGCATTCTTTTCCATCATAGCCTGAAATGCATTCAATTCCACCGCACTCTTTTCAGGTGATTTCTGACCAGAGTTAAACGAGCCATAGGCCAACAAATGAGTCTGATGACTTGTTTTTGTTTGTTTTAATAATGAGGAGAATGGGGAACAAACTGTACTGCATTTGGCTTTTGGACTGAACAACCAGTAGAGTTCTCGTAAATAAAATAGCTGACGTCGAAACTCAATAATGAAGGAAATGAAAACAAGGACTGGACTTTAGACAAAGAGCAGCTGCTGTAGTTCTAGGCCAGGTTCTGTCAGTACCTTCAAAAAGAAAAATTATCTCCTGTTGACTTTGGTGGAGATACAGAAAAAAGTTCATTTATTCCGTGCTTGCAATTATCACACAGAAAATTACCACTTACACGATACCTCAATTGGAATATTTAACAATTATGGCTAAGGTCACCAGAGGGAGAGCCAGGTCTTCAGAGTTTCACTACAAGGGATGAAGTCTACACCCCTCTGTCTCTCTGGGCATGGTACCTACCTGCTTGTACTTGGCAGGGAGGCTCCAGCCGCAGGCCTGCAGCCGCCCATCATCGTTCCGCACGTGCTCCCGCACCTGGCGGTACTGCTCCCGCTTCTGCTCACGGCGTGCTGAGGACGTGCAGTCACTGAGGAGAAAAGCAACAGCATTATTTCTCAGCCTAGGGTTAAAAACACGGGCAGAAGGGTATGGGATTGTTGTCCCTTAACAGGGAGTAGAAATTCAGGCAGAAAGTCTAAGAGTGCAAAGCAGCATCAGTCCATCTTTGCACAGGGAGAAAAGGAGATGCAGGAAATGAGAGAAAAACTGTTTTGAAGCAGACAGCCCTCAGCAGCCCTAATCTCCAATGCTTTGTTACCTGAATGATACACCAGGCCAAACCACGATCATCTCCACTTCAATGTTCCATGAGCCCTTTGGACACAGCAACCACCTTCCATATGACTAGCTATGAGATTCTATCCATTTTTGCTTAGCTGTTACAGTTTCCTGACCTAATGTCTCTGTGAGGAATGCATTTTGATCTCTTCCCTCCTTCATTATGTTCAACTATTTATTTTTATATCCATTTTAAACTTTGCTGACAGGGAAAATATGCACTAATTGCTTTTGAAACTGCTGGTTTCAACACAATGAATTCAGTTTTGGCAAAGGTAAGATGAAACATCAGTCAGCTCTTAGGATGTGTTTTCATATAAACAGGATTTGTTTGAATATCAGTTCCAGCTTTCAATAGGTTTTTAAATAATCATTCCAAGGTATGAACAACAGCAGCAAAAAGATGCAGGCCAAACTGCACACATGGAATGACGCACATTCTTAAAATAAATCCCAAACTTATTATACTTCAAAAATTATATATCAACTATACTTCAATTATTATATTTAAAATGCAATTTCAAGCTTTAAAAATATACTTAAAACAAACTCCTAACACAAAACATTTCCCAGCACATACTTCTTCCCTTGGAAAGAGGAGGAGAAAACAGCTTCTAGCAGCTGTTAGCAACACCACTTCATGTAGTATTAAAATGCCCTCAGAAACCACACAATGGCTGCAATATGGTAACCAGATAAGATGAATGGAAGAAAAGCAGTGGGCATCTAGAAAATACAAATTCACCCTCGTAAAGATATTTTTTACCTACAGAAAATATGCGTACAGCTGATTTACTGGCTTTCCAGTAAAAACTTCATACTGCAGACACTACATATTGTAGTTTATCACCACATTCTCCAAAGACCCTCCACACAAACACAGCACATACAAAACTGTACAACCTTGTAGTTGTAGAACATATCCATTCTGAAATCCATAAAGAACTGAAGATTTTTTTCCCCTCACGTCAGAGAAATAAAAGACAAAGTACTGCAGTAGCAGTATTTAGGGGCTCTTTTAAAGGAAAATTAAAACCAAATATTGAAAAAGAAATGTGCTGTTGAGAGAACTTCTGTCTTCACTTGACGTGTTGGTTGATGGGGTTGGGCAAGACTGTCCTCAGCCCATTGTCTCAGTGCTGCCACACACCACCACAAAAGCTCTACTTCACTTTCTCACATGATGTGCAAACACTAGGGCACAACCAGGGCTGAGGTGAACCCTGAGGCCAAAAGTGGTCTCTGCTGATATGAACCATCACAGCCTAGAAAACCACATCAGTCGTACTTTCAGAGAACAAAACTGCTGCCACTTTGCTGAGCCTATCCACGCCGTAATCAATGAGTTAACACCACACAAATGTGGGTGTTTTTTTTTCCAGTGGAAAACAGCTTATTTTAAGAAAAAGCATGAGTTGGGAGAGTTGGGGGACCTGGTTTGGGACACAGCACGTAACTCACTCCTCAGGGAAGAACTCCAGGGTGCGGCTGCCAGAGGAGATCTGGCACATGGTGTGACTGCGTCGCTGGCTGAAACCTGCTGTGGTTGGAGACTTGTAGTGGATGTTCACAGATGGGTAGGTCCTCTTTGCTGGTGGGGGACTTGAGGAGGAACTGAACAGACGGCTGAAGCTAGGGACAGGAAAAGGCCAATATGAGAAAAGGAGCCCAGGGACACAACATACCACAGACACACAACAGGGGTGCCAACAGCTGCTTTAAGCTCTTCATGAAAACTGCTCTACTTCTGTTTGATCAACAATAAAGTGTTTTTAGCTTTCAAAAACAGGTGCTTTCTGAAAAACCTCCTTTATTAAAAAAGATTCTGAATGTACGTATGTTTCCATCCCAGGTCAAGCAGAACCCTTTTCAGCTTGTGAAGGAAAATTGAGAGGGATGTTCAGATCTGATCTTAATTTCGCTAAGGACAAAGAAAGCCCTTGAAGGCAAAAGGGTTCAGCTAACAAGAGTTTCAACTGACTTCTCATTAATATGAGAGGAAGAGTCTACTAGGCTGCTGTATGAAGTAGAAATGGTAGCATTTCCCCTTTTCTTCATCTCACATAGATCACCAAAGAACTTACAACTGCCAAATGGTGGACTTCTTCTTCTCCTGGACGGATGGGTGCTCACGGGAAGCTCTAAGGACAAATACAAAAGAATCAATTTAATTTCAGCATCTTTTACCCAAATTTCTGCCAACCAACCTAAAATTCAACCAACCAGCAGGCCATTTGCACCAAGGAAACCATGTCACAACTCAGAATTCATTTTAACACAGAGCAAATGACATGGAGTCATTTTAATGAAGGGACATCCAACTGCTTTATATTTCAGTGTTAACATGAAGTGCAAATAAACGTTCTCAGATCAGTGTTTTATCAACTCCCTTTCACAGTATCACTGCCACAATATCAGTCCGGTAATTATAAACCCTAGCTCTAACCCAAACCCCAGATTACAGTCCTTTAAAGCTATCGCCAAATGAACTCAGTAATTAGAAGCAAACCTTTTCCCTACAGCTTTTCTGAGCTTAATTAGCACAAGAAACTGTCAAGAGAAACAGCTGCCCAGTGTCTCCAAATAATAATGGTAACTCTTGATTTGCAGCCCAGCATCAGCAATAAGAGAGAAAGGATTAGGTATGAGAAGAATCTAGTTTGGAAAACATTCAGCACATCTCCTGTATCTTATTAAGGGCATTGAGGCTAAAAGCAAAAGGTCCAGTGTGAGCAGGCTCTGTCCTAAATGGATGTTGCACCAAAATCCATCCTCACCTGATCATCTCAGTCCACCTGACAGCCTCCTGGAGCTCCATCAACCTCTCTTTGTATTGATTGCGCTCCATCAGAACCCGGGCCATTTCTACACGGGTGAAGCGTCGGCGCTGAGCTATGGGAATGTTGTCCTGCAGAGGGGAGGAGCACTGCTTCAGCCAACAAAAGATGGAAGGGGATTGATGTTAGTACAGGGCAAGTCAGGAGACAGAAAGACATACTGGTTAGTGCTCTTCCTTTTCTGCTTGACTACACCCCTCCCCGTTCCCACCCTTCCCAAATGAGACACTAATTCCAGACAAATGATTTCCAAACTATGGCCAATGGACAACAGGGTGCCCTGAAAACCCAGGGAAAATAGAACTAGAATCAACACCCAATTGAAGACTCTACTGAGGGAACATTGCCATTAAGGTGCTTTGGTAATCTGCAAGAAGTTTTGAGAACTGACACCGGTCCGTTGGTCCATAAAGTTTGGAAGCCAAAGTTTTAGTAAAAAACATTCAGTAGCAAATTCAGTGACAAGCAGCAGAGAGCAGAAGATAATGTTATCTCTCCCCTCTAGAGGACTAGGCAGAAGGCATTCAGTTAGTATGCTCTGATAAAGGCAGAGGGCACACGAAACTAAAGAACAACCTTCTCCTTGTTTGTGACAAAATTTGGCTTCCCAATGAAAGCAAACGTGGCTGCAGCACTTCACAAGCACAACCTGAAAATTTTCCTATCTACTTACATTCTAACCAAAGTAATTTCACCTCAGTGAAGTCAGGAGAATTAGGCTAGAACTGAACTCAGTTCTATACTTTTTACAAAGGAAGAACACAGTTATATTAGAAAGAAATGTATCTAATCTATCTTCAAGGTTAAGTTGCACAGGGCCCTGGGCAACCTGACCTAGTGCCTGATTTAGTGGTTGGCAAGCACAGGGAGGTTGGAACTAGATGAACTTTAACATCCCTTCCAACCAAAGCCATTACACAATTTCACGATTCTGATCTCCTACCTTAGCAGAGGAGACATTTACAGAGGAGACATTTACAGAGGATAACTCTCTTACTCTCTGGTTTGCTTTATTTTTGACTACAATGCACTCTGCTGCAAAGCCTCAAACTCAGCCAAAACAGGAAGACACTAACTCTTCTGGGGAAGCCTGAGTATCACTAGATTCTGTGAGAAAGCTCATCACACACGATGCTGTTTGGCATTCAAAACTGAGGAAAACCAGGTAAAATGGAAAGGTGCTGAGCTGGGCACTGCTCTAACACTGGTGTTTTAAAATCACACTGTGCACTGCGTTGTCACTCTGTCAGCTGCTGCTCTTTGCCAAACTATAGTTTGCAAGTTATATGCAAAGGTAATTACACAACAACAATTCAGCATATCTGCTCTCATCATTAACAAAGAAACGTGCAAGAAACATTTAGATATTGCAGTAAGGGACATGGTTTAGGGGGAAATATTGGTGGTAGGTGGGCGGTTGGACTGGATGATCTTGGGGGTCTTTTCCAATCTTGGTGATTCTACGAAACACAGATCAGTGTGCATCTCAAGAACCTTATATCAATTATTACAGTATAAGTATATAAACCCCCTTTCCCCGCAGGCATTTTAGTAATGTAATATACCAATTCTGTACAGAGATAGCTGCTTACATCCTCCACCTCTTCTTTGGGCTCTCGTCGGGCAACAATCGCTTCAGATTTCACTCTAGGAAACAGGAAGAAATGCATCGAACCAGCAAGTGATACTGTGACTGCAGCTGTGGGCTGAACGAGAGGGCTCTGGGGGAGATCTGGTTGCATCAGAAAGAAACTGTTTTCCAACTGTGATTAACACAAATTACAAGGTGCTTCTGTGCTATTCTTCCTCACTCTTACAGCATGTTTCTGGGAACAGCTTCACTGACATCATCCCCTCTCTTTGGACAACGTGATTTAAGCACCAGGCTCAAAATATGGACCACTGGAACAGACCTGTTTCAAAGCCATAATTTATACTCAAATGTTTGTTGAGATCTTAACAATGTAAAAAATGAGCCATTTCCAGCAATTAATGTTGGTTTAAGTTCTTCTGGGCTGCTTCTCTTTCCAGTGCAGTAAAAAAGCCTTTAATATGAAGGGCAGTTTGCCATCACAGTAAAGAAATGAATCCCAAATACACGTAAATACAAATTTACAGTATTTATCTCAATGCTTTTAATTTATTTAAGCCTCACAATGAGGGTCAGTCCCATTTGAATCACATGCACTTCTATTAGCAAGGAAAAAAAAATGCCATCTTTATCTCCTAGTAAAATACTAGGACAGTTAAAAGTCCAGATCCATGCTGCATAGCATATTTTATGTATTGCATAACACATCAGGAGACTCAAAAAGGCATTTTCAAAAATCAGATCAATTTCCACTGCTGCTGAGATCACCTTCACTTCAGACATTCTGAACACTGAAGAAACCAGACTGTGCTGTTGTTAGAGACTGTGCTCAAGAATTTCAAAAGAACAGAGGCAACCTTCCAGATTCAAGATGCAAAATAAACACTGTCCTCTGAATCTGAGTGTCACAGTGCAGCTGGTACAGCTATTTAAAATGCAGTTATGTAGCCTGGAGACCAATGGGGCATGCGTAGCTTTAGGAAGTGAAAACTTCCCAGGCTTTGTAGGCATTCAGGTTTAGGTTTCTCTAGTTTGAGCGGAAAATAAGAAATGGGATCTGTCCAAATGCCACCTGCGCAGAGCTCTAGAATCTCTTCTCCCTCTTATTCTTAATGTGAACAATAAGACAATTGACAATACTGACATTTAAACACTGTGAGAATCTGCACTCGTTCTTTCATTAAATGAATGGGCATTCATGCCTCTCAGCACAATCTTGGCCACCAACAGGATCAAGCTCCTGACAGTTTTCTTCAAAACTACTGCTTCAGAAATTCCTTTGTTGTTTGTTTGTTTTAAATTGCAAACTGAAATGCTGAAAGCTTCACTCTGGGGAGCCTAGATTTGCGACCACTGTGATGGAACCCTAATATTGGAGTGAAAAATTCTGTAGATTTTCTAAGGTTCAATAATTCATTTCAAACTAAGAAAAACGATCTAAAAACACCAGAAATATCTCAGCCACATACTATCAGCCTTGAAATGCTCTGTAAGCTACCTCTGAATTCTAACAATAACGCCCATGAATGAAATGCAGAAAAGCTGACTAGCACAAGTTTCTTCCTCAGGTCCTCTCACAGAGGCTGTGTTCATCAGTCAGATTCTTCCAGCTCCCTGACACAGCATGGGAATCACTCACCTTTTCAGCTCTTCCTCCAGCTCCTTGACTCTGGTTTCCATTTTGGCTTTGGCTTGCTTTGTTGCCTCAAGCTCTCCCTTCAGTACTTCTTGCTCTCCAGACAATTGGTCCACCTTGGCAATCAAATCATTCTTCACAACGTTCAAAGCATTTCTTAAAGGTGTGAAAGGGACAATAAGCAAAAATGCCCAAAACCATAAGCTGTCCATAAGAGAGACCTGAAACTAAACTCACAGGCACTACAAGGAAACCTGAAATGAGCATACTGAAATAAGTCAGACTATAAGTCATGAAAAAGCACATCTTGCAGAAGAACATAACTGGTCAGGATGAGGTCCATCTGCATTCTGACTGACAGACCAACTTCAGGTGCTTTCTTAAAGATGCAGAAAGCACATACAGGGCAACTTAACAGCTGCACAAAATTAAAATCTATTTAAAGAGAATTAAGAACTGAAACATACCTTTCAGAACCTACATTATTTGTAGTTGTTGACAGCTAGAGATGATGGTGACATACTTCATCATTTCCAATCAGTTCTGAAGTATCTTAAAATCTTTAAAATGAGGAGCTTCCCATCATAATAAGTTCTACAGCTATCACCCTTAGGATTACTTCTTCCTCTTCATGGCTGCTTAGCTATTCTTTAGTATCTAGCTTGCCTGCCTTTCCCAAAGGATGAGCAAATTACATTGTCTCGCTTCTATCAACTATTAAATTTTTGAAAATTCTTCTCAACAGTAATACAAGTTTATTTTCAAATAGTAAACCTTGCAAATAAAAACTTCAAAGTGCAGTGTCCTCACAGAGACACAGACCCATTTAGACTCCTGCTGAAGTTAATGAAAGAAAAGCCTGCCACTGATTTCAGGTGGGATCAGACCCCATTAAGAAAACTGCTCAGGAGAGGAGTTTCTCTTCTACATTTCAAAGCATAACAAGTATTCAAGAGAGCCTGCCAGATACACCAGCAAGCCATAGTGAGGCTGGAGTTCTAGCCATAGTCTTATTTGTGACAGTATCTCACTTGTACAACCAGGCAGGCAGTTCAGAGCACACAACAGTTTCTTACTTGGTCTCCAGTAGCTGTGAGTTCTCCAACAGCAGATTGCCTACTTCTTTGCCCATTCCTGAAAAAACAAAAAAAAAGTCAAGCAGTTTTCATCTGTTCTCCTTAGGATATGGAGCTTGCGTGGCACTGACTGACTCATGCTTGAGGAAGAGAAATCATTTTTGTTAGGCTTCCCTACAGCCAGATCCATCCACTTGAAAGGCTTCCTACTACCAACCTTCCACTGTGGCAATATTAAAAGGACTTCAGATTGCCCAATGCTCTACTATTTACCTTGAACAGTTCTCTCACAGGGCTTTACAGTTTGAAGTCTCAGGCCCATGACTTAAAGATCACTCCCAAAAAAGCACCTAGATCAGACATACTGCACTTTGGGTAAGAATGCATGAGGCCTGCAGCACACAGGTCAGGTTGCACGTACTCTGAAAGATTTGGAGCTAAGTGTAGAGATTGAATTTAGTAAAAATGAACTGAAAGGAATTTAAGGACCAAACACACAGCAGAAGTGCTTCCTGCTGACTTGCTAGATCCCAGAATCTGCTTCTATTTTACAAATGGATACAGAGGCTACCTGTTTTTTTAAGGGACAGCGCTGAGTGTTGCAGCTTGTTTCTCAACACAAGCCCCAGGGAACAAAAAGGCATCACAACCATCAGTGTTTGTGCTGAAGTGTTCCTCGTCCTGCCCTCTGAACTATCTATCCCTTTACAGCAAAGGCATCAACATTTTCCACAATTGTTATTTGCTGATTAATATTCACAATAAAATAAAAACAAAATAAACTTTAAGTTAATGGAAGTTAGAGGAACATGATAGCATACAAGAAGTGAGAACACATCACAACACTCCAACAAAACAAATCCTCTTCTCACAGTTAGATGGCATGAAGTTATGATGGCAAAAGCAGATTCCCAGCAGGAAGGAATAAGAAGCAGCATTTTCAAGTTTTTTGCTTTTTGTTTTTTAAATCAGTAGAAAGATAATTAATCACTTTGATGTTTCAGCAATGTATTCTTTGTGTGTCAAGGAATACTGCAAACAAAACTGTGAAAACTGAAGTGTACTTTTGGCTTGGTAAGGTGGATGAGCTATAGCCCTTTTCTTCCATGGCTTATATGTTGTTCCTAAAATCCAGAGGTCATAAAATACAGATATCAGTTTATTAAATATTTCTCTTGTTCCTTTTGAATGATCCTACAAATGATCAAGTAAGTATTTAACTACTAAGTCATTAAAATGGCACAAGGATACTGTGAGTGCTGAGGGGCATCATCATCCTCGTGGCTTGGTTTTTCTGTTGTTGGTGGGATGGTCAATAACAGTTTTCCTTCTCATCCACGAGTAAGATAACACTCGTGAGTCTGCCTCTGGGAGAGAAAGGAACTCTGGTGCAGAGGGTCAGCTGTTACCCCAGAACTACCTAACTAGTGTGTGGCCCAGTCCCAGTCTGATGCTTTAACCAATGGGAGGTCTGAAGGACTGGTCCTGCAATGAAGAAATGGATGAAGCCATCCTACAGCCATAGAGTGAGACACTATGAGATAATCTCATGCAAGCTGTAATGACAAAGCCCCACTCATGGAGAAAGAAAAAAAGGCACTGTGGAGTGACTAAAATGAGAATTCTTTACTCCTTGCGGTGTGGAACAAAGGAGAGAGCCATTCATCACTGTGCACCGCCCATAGCCAGGCAAATAGTGTGAAGCATCAAAGTGGATAATCAACTATATCAAGGGAAAGAAGAGAATCCCCACATCACAACTATGGATCAGCTGCATCCTGCTTCTTGGAGAGGTGATACCACCATCACAAAAAAAAACCAATCAACCAAACAAACCAAAAATCACAAACCAAGGTAATGCAAGACATATGGGGGGGATGTTGAGTGGATGGAAGAAATTTTAAAAGAAAAAATGCATGTTAAAAGAGGGAAAAAAAAAAAAGAAAAAAAAGAAAAAAGGCCTTCGCCTTACCAAAGAAATCATCCCGTACTATGAGGACCATCCCATACGAGAAAGGGAACAGAAAGATAGGGGGGCAAAAGGGAAAAAAGGAAGAGAAAAAAGCAGCCATTAAGTACCAATCTGTAAATAGCAAACAGAGCAGCTCATCAGCATGTGCAAACGTGTGTGGTGCCAGTATATGTGATGCTCAGCATAAACTAACATACACCTTGTTCAGCTGCAACCTGGCCTGATGGAGATTTATGCCTAGGAGTTCAGGACAAGCTCAAGATGAGCTTATCTTTTTCTTCCATCTTCATCTTTTACCCTGGACTAAATATCTCTGTGCTTTCCAACCCCACCACAACGGCAATTCAACAGACATAACGAATAGGGTGAAAGAAGTACAGGGGCAGAAGAAAAAATAAAAGGGGAGGGATATTAAAGCTGTTATCTTTTGCACAGACCCAAATCCACTTTACTACTGAGATAAATTCCAGTGCCACTTCAGTGGGAGAGTTTCTGAGAAAAGACCATGGAAAAGTGGCTTACAGTAACAGTACAAACAATCTGAGCTAAGAGAAAGGATGATGCCATTCCTTCCTTCCTTTTGTAACCTTACAGACCCAACATCAGGAGGTGCTGTGTAGAGGAATGTGACAGAGCTCATCACTGCACAGTATTATGCTACAGATTTTGTACCGTATCAGCCCAAGTCACCTATCCTTATTACAGGTGAAACTTCATTCAGTTTGCACTGCAATCAAGAGAGACTGCCTTGATTTCACCTGATTTTTTATCAGTGCCCAACTGCATTTAATAGAAAGGTGAAAATTCTGCAATTTAGGGCCTGCTGACCTTTGTATGGCACGAAAGGCAACAAAGGTAGCACTTCAAACTCCTACCAAAAAGTCAAAACTTAAAAAAAGCCTGTGGCTCTGCCACTCTCTTCCCTACAAGAAAGTCTTTATTTTCACTGCAGCTGTGGCAGGAGAGTCCGTATGCATTAAGAAACTCCTAGTAGGCATCATGTGAGCAGAGGGACTCCTCACAACCTTGTTCACTTGAAGAAAAGTGGTAAAATAACTTAATTCTGTGCTCAGCTGAGCTCTGATCAGAGCACAGCACTTGCCCTAAAAAAAGGCACCCTGAAGCAAAGGAAAGGTGCAGTGTGGTTTTCTCAAGACCTTGAGAGACAGACCAGTGTAATACAAGGGAGCAAACCTGCAGAAAGCTACACAAAAAGTAGATCAAAACGCAGCAGACACGTGAACACAAAGCAGGGATGTCCTACTGCCCAGGGACCCCCAGTGCAAGGAACCAAGCAAGGCAAAGGTGGGAGAAAGTCAGCAAAGCCAACCGTGATTGGACAAGAGCAGGGGAGTATCACACGTGTATACCATGTCATTCAGTCTCAACAAGGTAAAAACAAACAAGAAAGGAAACTGAGCAGAGGAGAGATACACACCTGAGAACTCCCCTATGGGCCATGTCCAGCGAAGCACAGAGAGACAAGGGAAAAAAGGAAGTGAAAAAAGGATCGATCAGTGACTGAAACCAACAAAATTAAAATTTTGTTTAAAAAAAAAATAAATTAACAATGATTCAGCCATTTCAATGTCAAAAGGCATGAAATAGTAAGGACGGGAACTGCCATGACTGTAGGCACGACTCCACATACAGGACAAAAAAAAAAAAATCAAGGGGAGGCAACCCATGTTATAACTGCAACCACATGCTTCAGCTACCCCCACTATGCAAAAGACAATTGCATTTTACAACATCTTTTCCCTACAGCAGTGCCAGGACACGGTTTGATAATTTCATTTCAACTTCTGTATAGAAAAACAGTATTTACATATATGAACTTACCACTAATGTAAAAACTGCTGTCTTCACCATAAAACAGCTGTTACATGAAGTGAGATTTTAATCTCCAAAGCAAACACAAGTGGGCATCCTAACTCTAAAAGAAAGGACTTCCTAGTGCCCATAACCCAACCATTAGTTCTCCCCATGTCCAGAGTACTGGGATAATGAATATCAGGAAAGGGGATATGAGAGAAAGGGGTAACTACCCATGAGCAGCTGGTAAGAAATGCAATTAATAAGTAAACAGGCAGGAAAGCAGCCAACTAGATGGTGAGAATATTCCAAAGGCTGTAGTGAGAAAGAAGGGAATTATCAACAATTACACTAGAAAATGTTCTCATTCTACATGTTTCTTCAGAATACATCCTACACAAACTAATGTCATCTACCTGGACTTGTGTAAGGATTTTTACACAGCCCCACACCATATCCAGATCTCCAACTCGGAGAGCTATGAATTTGAAGGTTAGACCATCCAGCAGATAAAGAATTGGTTGGATGGTCGCTGCCAAAGGGTTGCTGTCAACAGCTCTATGTCCAAGTGCAGGTTGATGACAAATGGTGTCCCCCAGAGGCCTATCTTGGGTACTCTTTTGCAGTGTAATCAATAACATAGATAATGGAACCAAGTGCACCCTCAGCAAGCAGAGCAGCGCAGCTGACACAACAGAAGGAAGGGACGTCATCCAGAGGGACCTGGACAGGCTTGAAAAGTGGGGCCATGAGAATGTAGGAGTGTTGCACTTGGGTTGGGTTATCTCCAGATAAGAGCAGAGACTGGGAGAACTCGCAGAGAGCAGCCCTGTGTGAAGGCTGTGCGGGTTCTGGTGGACCAAGAGCTGGACATGAGGCAGCAGTGTGCGCTCGCAGCCCCGAAGGCCGACTGCATCCCGGGCTGCGTCAGCAGAGGGGGGCAGCGGGCAGGGAGGGGATTGTCCCCCTCTGCTCTGCCCTCGGAGCCCCCAGCTGCAGTGCTGTGTCCAGGCCTGGGGCCCAGCACGGGAAGGGTGGGAGCTGTTGGAGAGAGGATCCAGAGGAGGCCAGAAAAAATGCTCAGAGGTTGGAGCAGCTCTCCTGTGAAAAAAGGCTGAGGGAGTTGGGCTTGTTTAGCTTGGAGAAGAGAAGGCTCTGAGGACACCTCACTGCAACCTTCCTGAATGTGAAGGCAGCTTATAAACAGGAGGGGAATGACTTTTACAAAGTCTGATAGTGTCAAAACGGGAGGGAGTAACTTTGAACCAAAAGAGAGGAGATATTAGGTTAGATTTTAGGAAAAAATTCTTTATTTAGAGTGCAGCACTGGCACAGGCTGCCCAGAGAGGCTGTAGATCCCTGGAGGTACCCAAGGCCAGGCTGGATGGGGCCCTGGGCAGCCTGATCTGATGGGTGGCAACCCGGCCCATGGCACTGGGGTTGGAGCTTAATGATCTTTAAAGTCCCTTCTAACCCAAGCCATCCTATGATTCTATGATGATTTGTATAGGGCAGTATTAGAACACGGGGGAAAAGTAGATTTTATACAGTTGCAATGAAGAGTGCCAATTTTCTTGTGCCAATGCTGTAGTACTCAGATGCACTCTTCACGCATTTTTAGTTCTTTCTATAGTTCAAAGCAAAAAAAAGAAAAAAAAAGAAGCTTGAATCTCACTTCTCAGTCAGAGAAGCATGACTTCTCAGATATCTCTTTGCCCTCCTTTCTTTAAACAATCCTGGCAACACGTGTTCATGTTAAAGAGCACTTTCAAGAAGACAGAGCTGGTAGCCAGAACTCAACAAAAGAAGCAATTAGATTGACAATTCTGTCATGAAACTCACTCAGCTAACTGATTTAATCACACTCCAAATCTCAAAAGGAATTGGAAGAAGCCTTCCTATTCTGCTAGCCCACCATGACATCATCTGCAAGAGTTTTTCTTCTCTTCTCAAATCAGAAAATTATCCCAGAGAAGAGTACAGAAAGACTGTCAAATTACATGTCACAGCATCTCTGCTGAGATGATGATAACCAAGGTTTAATGTATTTCTCTTCTGTAAGTGAGCTAGGAACACAAAGAGAAATTCTTTCTGAAGAGTTTTAGAATTCTTCACCACTAGCAGATTCATCCTTCTATTTCATCCCTAAAGAATCGGTAAAAAGAGGAGCCATTCAGGACTAAAAACATACAGAGTGACATCAACTTTAATACTACTCCCTTTGACATTGTATAGGGTATTGTATACACGCAGCATGTTATATACAGATCTCTAGGACAGGGGAAGAAAATGTGCAGACCTTTTCCATTAAGCATTTAATTCATGCATGTATAGTTAAGCTACTGCTCCTCAGACAAACCTCTCAAATGCTCTGATTAAAATATATTTTAGGTGTTTCATACTTTCATATTTTGTCCAGAATACTTCAAAAATGAAGAACAGAAAAAAGAATGCCAACTTCAATAAGGCTTGAAATGTGTGTACCATTCAAAGGAAAACTAACAGATACAAAATACCAGAAACATAACAGCAGTGTAAGCTGGAAATGTTTTTGTGTTTAACGAAGAGGAGAGAAGAGATTTTTACTTCCTAAGCAAAAAGAAATCAAAGGATTAAGCAATCTCCCTTTTTTCCCTCTGTATTTGAGAAGGCAAGGACAAGCTATCTCTATGTATCATAGAATCATAGAATGGTTTAGGTTAGAAGGAATCTTGAAGACCAACTAGTTCCAACCTTCCTGCCACAGGCAGGGACACCTCTCACCAGACAAGGTTGCTCACAGCCCCATCCAGGGCCATGGGCAGTGCCAGAGCCTCATCACCCTCTGAGTAAAGAATTTCCTCCCAAGGAAGTAACCTCATGCTTAAATTTAAAAACTCAATATGTACAGATTGATCGTTTAGGTTTCAGGTGGAAAGGAAATTGATCTTCATGAGCCATACTTACGTGGATATACTGTTCAAAGTTTCTGTATAATTTTCTTAGAAGAGTTAACTGGCAAATAACAGATGACTCAAGATGTCTACAGATGTCTGGGCTGTATTATTACTGGAAAAGGTGAACACCTTTGACTAATTGGAACTGTGGTGACCTAACTTGCAAGGTCTAAGCTGGGCAACTAAACACTTGTACCCTTTGAAAACAAGTCTATATTTCTCACTGATCACTGAGTCAAACTACTGGGTTCTGGGGAGTAGATTCAGAGAAGACAGGCTTCCAGAAGTGGGAAATGGGTCTTCCCAAGCAGTTCATACAGCAAGTCATTCATTTCCTGAATGACTCTTAGATGCTCACACTTCCTGATGCCATAGCCATTTCAAGAGAGATAAAAAGCAACAAGTGGCACAGAAGATAAATGTGATTTAGGGGAAGAAAGCCACGTATTGCATCACATGCTCTTCTAGACAAGGAAGCACCTAAGGATCAAGATAAAACACACACTAAATAGCAAGATTCTGATTGCTTTTAATTCTTTGAGCCTCTCACAAAGAGAGCTCCCAATAATGCACAGGGGCTGACTAAACAAAATTCATCCCACATTAAAGCTTTAATTGCAACTGCAATTTGTTGCTACTGCCACCTTCACGAGGAGCAGGAGATCAAGCCCTTCTGCAATGACTGCTAACGTACAGGTCACTCTCAAACCTAGAATTCTTGCTTTTTCTTTTTAATTCTGATATTTTCAATATCTGCATATATTGGCTCCACTGCGAAAGTTCATCTCTACTCTTCTGTGGTGGAAGAGGTATCAAACAATAAATGTCTAAAGACTTCTGGCAATGGTCATCATTTCATGCACAAGAGTTACACTGCAAGCTGCAGAGCTAGCATCATGCTTCTAAAAAATATATCGATATCAAACAGCTACTGCAAGAGTTCTGATCAGAGTCTAGATCTCTCTTTTACATTCCAGTCACACAGATGCCCACAACAGTATCAGTTTCAGAGATTATGTCTTAGATAGAGCAAGAAGTGATATACTAACCTACTCTACAGCCTTCAGTCCACTTCTTCATGGTTAAATCTTCAGTGAATAGGATAAAATCTGTCCTCTCTGCAGAAACATACTCCTTCAGAGGTTCCTGATACCAGACTCATTCAAAGGTAATACGAGTATTCCCCTAATTTAATTCTTGTAAAGAGAAGCTGCTGCAATTCTGCGACATGATTCAGCTGATCATGTTCTAGATATATGAGGGCTGCTCCAAAAGTAATGTCTCCTATTTTATTATGTTGGCCCATGATGTCAGAGGCGAATGTTGGTGGTAATGCATCAAAGGTTGAACTTTCCCACCTGCATTGCATTAAATTTTGTTGCTATGTGACAGATGGCAGCAGAGAGGCAGTCTGTCAGAATGGTAACTGACATGAAAGTGCAGAAGAAACAAAGGTGTCAATGAACTCCATGCAAAAAAAATTTTAAAAGGACCCACTGACATTCATCAACACTTGTGAACATTGATGGAGACCAAACAGTGGGTGTTGGCACAGTGAGGAGTGGGTGGTGCATTTCAGCAGTGGCGACAGCAGGTACTTCCACTGGTGCAGATCTGTACAATTGTACCATGCAGTTCTTGTTCACTGCTGGTGAAAATGAGTAAGTAATGGTAGTGACTGTGTTGAAAAATAATGTTCTGTAGCTGAAAATCTGCTCTACCAAACAGTGCTACTGTGTTCTTTGTATCTGTTGTGGTTTCCATGGAAATAAATAGGAGGCATTACTTTTGGAGCGACCTCTGTCTATCCAAAAGTTTTTCGGTAAAAATTGTTTCCAGAACCAAACTTGTAAGATTACCCAAATGCAGCTCTTATGTCAGTAACCACCAGAAATGTTCACTTTCACATCAGATCTCTTGCTGCTCACTGTCGTAACAGGAACACTGGAGGAGTCCTCGTATTTCTTACAGTTCTTTAAATCAAGCAGTAAAACTGACAGTGAGCTACACGGTTATAAACTCTGTCAGTAGCATGTGTTATCGGGATATTCAAATACCACTCATATGTTCCTGAAAATATTCAGTAAGTCTTCAGAACAAGCTTAAATTCTGCCATGAATTAAGGTTTGTATACTCAGAGTCCAACACCAGAAAGCATGGCAAGGGCTCAGACTTCTACCTGACACAAAGCTGCTTCTCTTTCTGCTAAGTCCTCATCAGGAACACAGAATATAATCAGACTTCAGATACAAAAAGCTCCTTCAAAATCAGCCTAAAAGGAAAATGCAAATCTCTCTTGGATTGACTATAAAAAGGTAAAAACTGCAGTGAAGACTATGATGTTTCCATACGAGAACAAAGAAAAATTGTTCCTTTAAATTTAAAATACTTAACAAAAGGAGTTATTTTCTTGCAAACTTCCAATAAAACCTTTATTCCAAGTGAAACTACTACAGTGCAGAATTACTGGAGTGAAAATTTGTGGGAGGAGTGGAAGAAGAAATCTTCATGTAGGAGAATTCTATAGGAAAATAACTTAAAGACACATAAAGACAGCCAAAATACATAGACATTAACTTAAATTGTTGGGTAAGAATTACTGTGCCGTAGGTACATATTTCAGTCACAGTGTATCCCAAGTTCCATGTCATTTTTTAAAGGCCAAACAACCAAATTCTGAAAAAAAAGCGAATTTAAATGCTTCTAGAAGCTTAAAGGAGTTGTCACTGCATCAGAGAAAACAGAACAGTTCCAACAAGTTTTTACCTAGCAGATCTGCTCCTTCATCAACGTCCCCGATCACCTCAGATCCTGCTGTGGAAAGTTCATGATAGAGAGAGTCTGTGTTGATGCCAAATGCTTTGTTCACAATCCCCTGGGTTGGGCTGTGGTTGGAAGAAGGAAAGCAAGGATTCTTGTTACTTGGCAATGTTTAAGCTAGAACATAATTCTCTAAAATACTGAGCATCACAGACCATTACAATCAAAACAGGTGGAGTGGATTCCACCTGCTTGCCAAGGACTGACTGAGGGAATTTACTAAGTCAAGGAAAAAGCATGTTTTATTCCCCATACCAAGCACCAGTACCTACCGTGCATAACATCAAAGCTCTTTTTCAAACAGCTGATGACTTCTCAATATTTCATAGAAAACTTTCAACTCGCAGTCCTAAGACTGTGCAATGATGCCTACACTCCCACCAACTTAAACAGCAACCCTCACAGCAGTAAGATCAGATAAGGACTCAAATGCTGCAAACAGCAGTGGTTTTCTTTTTTCTTTGCCAGCTAGTAAGCAAAATCAGCCTGAAGGATTCGTTTCTTCTTTGGGTGAATCTGTGTGCACAAATTATGTCAGCAAAATGTAATTCATTAAAGGTAAATCAAAGTTAATGTTATCTAATTACATCATGTGGAAGCACATTTCCGTATCTTCTCTATGGAGAATTGTCTTGCATGCCTTGACAGACTCATGGCTCAAAGAGAAGACAGCCATTGCAGGAAGGCATAGTATGAGAGAGTGAGGTGTCCAGTGGGATTGCCAGTGCCTACTCCAACAATCAGCGCTGAAGCAGGTACAAAAACACTTCTGTGTGCCATGCCTTGTACAAGGGGAACCAGCTTGTGCAATCTTTCAGCAGCCTAGCAGAAAGGCCAGCACCACTGGATAACATCCCAAGTTCTGTGGCTTTGTTCTTAGGTAAATCAAGTCTCTGCGATCAAGCCTGGAGATTACAAATGTCACTGATACATGAGCAATACAGCACATTGCAGAGAAAAGAAATAAGCAGCTTTCTTAAGTACAAAGCTACCCAGGTATCTAAGAACACTAAGGAATACAGATGGGTGCCACAACTGCATCAGAATTAATCAGCTGATGCAGTCTAACAGGCAGCACAACCGACAGCAAGCAACCAGCATTCAAGGTCTGACCTGAAGGCATCATTCAGCTTTAGCACTCCACTTTCTGAAGCAATACATTTTCCCAAAAGCATTCTGCTATTAAAGGTGCAGCTCCAGCGTTATCTTGTGTCTCCTGTAGTTTCAAGTATCTCTACCTGGATCAAAGATTACTGCCTGAAGAGCTCCCCATGCAGCAATACTCTCCACTCCTATCTTTTCTGCAGATTGAAATCAATTATTGGTCTAACCATAGCAGTCACTTTTGCCTTCCTCCCACAGTGCTGTTCTGGCTACCTGGATTCGTCCTGCTGCTAACAACTGCCCACACATCCTACATACTCTGAAGGGAGTTTAACTGAGAAAGGCATCTGTTACTGCTGCTCCCATATGCTCTTAGAGGACTAGAGGAGAGTGCCCAACAAGTGCAATCCAGTTCACATTTGCTCTGTGAGGAAATCTTGCTGTAGCTTTGTCAGAGTATTATTTCCTGCATGCCTTTTTGCTGACATATTGTCAAGTTACCCACTAAACAGTAAAAAAAAGAGTAAAACAACCTACAAAATTGCTAGACCTTGTTAAAAATGGATCAAGGAACCTAGAGTAATAATTCTAGTCTAATGTATGTTTCACAGATGCACATGGAACCAAAATTAATAGCCTTTAGGGAGCTGAGTGCCAGGTGCTAGGCAGGAAGCACATCAAGATATTGGTTCACTAACTCAGAAGACTCTATCGAGGTCCTGAGTGCTTTGATTGACCACTTCACACCTGAACACTCTCATCCTCTGTCTGCTGGTCCCTTAAACCTCAGGCCTGTGTCTTTAGTCCTTATCTGAGCTACACTATAGGAGTACTTGTCCTCAGCTCTGTCTGCTGCTTCTGAGTATCCTTTGCACCTAATGCATCCCCTCCTTGTCTGGGAGTGCTGATGGAGCCTCTTACCAGCACCCTGCTCATGATCAGCACTGCCCACTAGGATTGTTCCTGCCTGTCCTCCCATGCACAGCAGCCCTGCTCCTGCTCTTCCAACACTTAAAGAATACCACACAAAACTAAAAGTCTTGAGGCTTTAAACTGCATTCAGAACTGATCTCATTAGACAAACACATCTTTTTCCTCTCCCTGGAAACTTAAGCCCATATTCCCTATGCTTAACTTAAACCTTTTGCTGCTACATTTCTTTGCACTCCCTAATCCAGCAAGGCAACCTAACCTGCCTCAAAGCAGGCTGGACCTGGGCCAGTTGCACAGACTCTTCCAGATTACCAGCTGACATGTGCCTTCCCCAGAGAACTCAAAGAAGGCCAACACGCCCTCATTTTTGCATTAGGCAGCATATATGCATTTTTTGAAACAGCTGCATCTTGAACTCTGAACCACGGTATCCACTATTCACTCCTCACAAAAACAAGAGCAGAAAGTCACAACCAATACCTGTTACCAGGGCGTTCCAGGCGGGGATCTTGACACATATCCAGCTCAGGAGTGGAGTCTATGATGTCCTGAACATCGGACCACTCATCACTGCTTCCCATACCTAGGTGAGACAACACATGATCTATGGTAACACTGCTCCTTAAAGGCACTTCTGCAGCTTCAAATACCATGGCTTGAGAATGCCATGGTGCTGTGTACAGTTGTTAAAATAGGAACAGAAAGCAGCAGATCACCCGGAGTCACAAATGCACCTGTGCTGGAAATATACCTTCATATCTTTAGGGCAGAAAAGACCTTAAGCATGCTACAAGCAATACCACAGTGCCACCAACATAGCTAGCCTAGATCTTCATTAAAACTTAACAGCCAGAAATACTTCATCCATTAGAATAACTTCCATATAGTCTTTTAACTGGTCAGTAGAAATTCTTCAGTCACTGTGCAGATTTAGCCAAAATCACAACCCTTCAAGAGATTATTCTAGCTACGAACTGGCACTGGCTCATTTAAATACAAACAATTAGTCAACACAATTTCTCAAATCTACAAGTAGTTTAGATATCCACTGTAGTGAAATTTCACTTAGAAACTGCATTATACAATGCATGAAATCCAGTCTGGTTTCTGTATAATTGGCCTGGGCCAATATTTGAGGAAGAAAATAAGGGACTTCCCCGTCTTGTCAATTTATGTGTATTAGAAACCAAAATGCTCAAAAGCTGAGGCAAGCAACATAAACACAATGCCAAATTCTTGAAGGATTAAGGACGTCATCTGTATACTACGTCAGTCCATTTAATGTGTTAGAGGTGACATTTTTGTCCTTTCCAAACTGCCTTGGAGCCCAAATACACAAAGCTCACAACAACGAGAACGTTCATTCCTCCATTTAGGCTGGTACTGCAGGCTAGCTGGCAAGCAATTCCATGCTGAAGACAAAGCTTGATGTGTATCTGTTGCCAAAGTAGGCATCCATACACAGCAGTTCTCTAGCTCATACAAACAGACGGTTCCTTCTCTTTTCAACCTGGAAAACTTTGCAGCAAATACTTTGGAATATAATTTTTGTAAGTTCCTCTTTAAGACATTTGCATCAGTAACAGACATTTTAAGAACATATGCATAGAATATGTAATTACAATTCAAGTACCCGAGTTTCTCCACAGCAGAGATGTGTTCTGCACTACACATGAGAGACAGCAGTGCACATAAAGGCACAACTATCTGCCTGGAGCAGATTGCACACTATGATCATTTCACCAGGAAAACTTAAATTTTCACATGGGCATTTTCTTCAGAATTAAAAGAGAGCTACTGATGGTAAACAGTCTTCTCAGAAGCAAATGTAAATTAAGGATAATTATTTATAGTACATTTGAACTACTGAACTCTGAGAAATACTGTAGGACAAATTTATGACTGACACAAATCCAGAATCATCATTGGACCTATTAAAGCAATTCCTCTTTTCTTGCACGCACAGTATAGCTTTTTCTTGTCAGCTCTAACTTCTGGTCTCAGCCACCACAGACATCCACGTTCAATTTCTCTGTCACTAATGCCCATTGACTTGCCTTGGCCAGGATACACATGAAATAACAATTTCAGTTGTCTATGCAGAAGCCATATGCCCTTATGGAGAACTGTGCTGGTTTCTGACAGACTGAAATTCAAGAAGTTGGGAGCCCCTCAGCTGCTAATAAAAATACAGAATGGGACTCAGTTTTGACTCTTTTTATTCAAATGCTACAACAGAAGATGTTACATGTTGTTTTATAGTCTTAATTTGTTAGGAACCAGCTGCTGAATGTTAGCACAGGCATTTCCTCTGTATTACACAGGAAAAGGTTCTGGTTCTGATGGTCCTTGGAAACCTGTGCTCATTCACATGCTCCTGCACAGACTTTTTCCTTATGGTCTTCGTTGAGTTTTACAGTCCTTTTGAATTTAAGTTAATGATATGTAAGAAACACACCACTTCTCATTTCTGAAGGCCGCCACAAGTCTAAACACAGTACAGCCTGAGAGCTGCTGGCACACAGTACATTGGTACTGCTATATTAAACTGCACTGAAAATGGCTTTTCTCATGTTCTTGCATTCTTTTCTTTCTTTCAGCAAGCTAAAGCCTTAGATGATGGCTTTCCTCACCAGACATCATTAATTCAATCTGCTAAAGGACTCTGGGAAGTGGAAAAGAACAACTGTAAGTTTTCAAAGATTTCTCAAATGAGAAACAGACTAAGAGAAAACAGCTTATTTAGCTTAGAAAAACAGCTGGATGAGGATATAATTATTCTTTTAAAATACATCTGGGTGTGGAGTAAACACACGGGAGGGAAAATAATTATTTCCAACTGACAATTTTGATATATGAACAGCTGAGTATAAAATACTTGAGAATAAACCCACAAAAAAAAAAAATTAACAAAGTTTTTAACTAGCATATTAATGAGGCCCAGAAACAGCTTCCCAAAAGCTCTAAGATGGGACTTGCTTGTTCATGACAGCGGTTCTATGACATGGATGAATGCACCGCAGGGAAACGGACTCAGTAACTACAGCCATCCTGTATACCTGGGAAACTATTCATATTACTGACTTTTTAACAAAATTTGCTACTCAGAAAAAAGCTCACACTCAATTCTATTTGAGATAGAAGCTGGTTACCTATCAGCCTCCCAGCCTCCTCCTGTTACAGAAGAACACAAGCACTGTGAAGTAAATTAATGTAATGATCAAAAACACATGCTCCATCTCCATACCTATGCTGACATTCCTCATCTCCTGCGTGACCTGGACTTCCATGTTCCGGCTGTTCCGCTTTTCTCGTGTCCTCTTGTTGCTCTTGGTTGTGCCATTGTATTCACTGATGGGTTGGATGCTCTCATTCAGAGGCGTGACAGCAGCAGAGGGCACAGATGATGTGGGAGTGTTGGACTTGGTTCCGGTGGTGCTCGGCGTGGCAGCTGCTGAGGACTGCCCAGATTCAGACATTTCATCTTGGGGACACTATGGCAATTCCAGGGTAGGGAAAGAATAAAAAGGGAAAAGCAGAGCTATATATTTCAGTTAATCTCCGATTTGTTGGTATATGGCTGCCTTAAAGCATTAAGCAAAATGAGCCTTGTTCACTGTACCAACTAAATGCCCAGCGTTCACTGGTGACATGTGGCACTGCAACCAGAACGTAGCAGTGAGTTCTCATGCTGAACTCAGCAAGCAAATCCTACCTGTGAAAGGATTGACATCCTTCTTCTTTTACTATGAAGACTTATCTTCACAAGTCACATCATTATGTGACTTCATCATGCACCTCAAGGAAGAAGGCCTTTTCATAAGTGAAAAGCACCTCCAATTGCCACTGACTACAGCAGAAGCTGAAGGGCTTTGGCACTTGCAGTAAGCCAGGACAGCACTTCCCAAGACTGGAAGGTAACATGGACCTTCCTTGCTTGGGAAAGACGTGAGCTCTTAGAGGATCCAGAAGCTGTCATTACAGTAAGCCACTGACATAACCAGGATGAGAATCCCTTGTGTTGAGAGAACAGCGTATTTTTGACACCAAACTGCAGAAGCAAAGTGGATAACAAACTGATGGTCTGATTTCGCTAGTGGGGGAAGACCTATGTCCCCACATGATGTTATGCAGAAGCTAGCCAGGCATGGATCCGGCTTGACAACACAGCAGAAAGAGGTGTGGTCTCCCCAAATTGATTAGACAAGACCCAGAAACTCAAAAATAAGAAGCAGACAAATTAACATAGGCGACAAACTTCCATTGTGAAATGTGCACAAATGAGTCCCAGCCTTACAGACATTACAGCCCCATTTCTTGTAATAACACCTCTTGAAAAACATGGGAGGCTTGTAAGACTCTGTGAGGATTTTATACTGCAGCCCTTCTTTGTCAATTAAAGTAGCACTGCTTCAAAGTCAGCCAATTAATGTCTTGACCGATGCAGTAATCATTCCCAGTACCAAATGAGATCTCTCCTTTCTTCATGGCAGCCCACTCTAATTGCTGCCGGCAGGGAGATGGCAAAATGAATTTGGAAAGTTATACGTGCTAATGAGTTGCAATTGGGTGCAGTGACATTCAGCAGCTGCACGCCCAGACTCAGCTATAATTGTTATTGCTTGCCTCTCCCCTCCTGTGCAACTGCTGCAAAGATTCAGACTGCTCAGCAGCTGCTTCAGGGCCTCCCATCCTCGGAGCTGTGATGCTGGTTCACTTCACCAATTTCTAAGTCTTGCTCTACTGTTCTAATATTAACTGCACAACATAACAAAGCAATTCAAAATGGGATGAGAGAAAAGACTGAAATATATTAACCCTTTGCAGCCTTTTTTTTTTTTAATCTGGAATCTTATTAACACCTTCCTTTAATTAGATCGGCCTCTACGCTTATCTTAAAATACCTTGCAGTGCATTATACTGCAGAAGTCAAAGGTTTTATATTGCATCTGTGCGTTTACATAAAAAGTTAAGATTTATTTTTAATATTTGACCATTCAATAAAATCAATGAGTTGTTTGGTTTCTGCACTGCCAGTCCAAATAGCCCCCATATTCCCATTTGGAAGTTCCAATTGCTTCCCTGCACATTTGCTGATTTTACAAGCAAAACTGAGATAGAAACACTTTACTGTGGCTACATGTGGAAACCACACTTTCTCACCTCTACTTCAGATTGTTGTGAGTTACTTTTCTAATAGTTTAGTTCAGTTTTTGGGAATGTGATCAGTAAACCTTGTAACACTCCAGCTGCAATTTATCTGCTATGCTTTCTGTCATACAAAGGGACAAAGAATACCAAGTGTGAAGTGCATTCATAAAACCTCTTCCCCCACTCAAAAAGTAATTCTGTTGGATGAACAGATTCAGAGCTTCTTCTTGTACCCACAACATGTAAGCATAACTGAAGTCCATGAGGATTTTAGCATTGCAAAAGAGATGTGCAGATGGGTACACATGTAGATTCTTGCACTTGGGATCTAGATGTCATTTAGAAGTTCTACATCATCAGTGTCTGTAGAGTAATACTTGTACTGAGAAAATATCATATAGCTTCTTGTTAATTGACATTATCTTTCTTTCACCCAGAACACATCAGGGAGTAATTACACATGTAATTATACTTACTTTATACATCTGTAGTTTATAGTCATCTAGAAAGTGTCCTTTACTAAGTCTACCAGCCTGCCCTGGAGAAATTCCTCTCAAATTTAAACGCTACCAAGGCACTCTTCTTCACAGTCCAGAACCTCTATTAAACTTCCTTCTACTGTCCTTCTGTACAGCTTTCCTCTGCAGTCTAGGAGGCACACTGCATAGCCCATAGCTCACCCAAAGAATACTCTCCACAACCACCACTTACCTACAAGCCATACCTGTCAACCTCCTAAACATCAAATGTGTAGCAGTGACCTCCAAAATGCATTGCAAAGGCTCAACATTCATAGCAGTCATATGTCACCATGAGTAGTCACAATTGTATGGTTATAACACTGAAAGCATAGTACATAAAAACAAAAATGTTAAGGACTTTCATCTCCAACTTATTATGTAAAATAAATGTGCAACTGAATGTAAAAATAAAATAACAAAGACAGCAACTTAAATAGAAAATAGTCATAATAAGTATACAAGGACAATTAAAACATAACTAACATATGGCCCCATGAAGGAGGAAAACTAGACAGAAAAGTCAAGATAAAAATATTGGGAAAGTAAGTTATGTGTTTGCAGTCACTGTCATTGAAACATCAGAGCAGATAAAGAAAAAGCAAGGAGTGCACGAGCACCACTGCTGAGATTTCAGTCATGCAGAAGAGCTGAGAAATAGCATTTTAGTCAGAGAGTGCACAAGTAGCTTGCAAGAGGAAAATTTTCCATTCCAAATTGCAAATCCAGCAAGTCAGCTAATCAGTCCTTTTAATTATTCATAGGTTTGTTCCATACTCTTAGGAAATCCACCATAACACACTAGCTATCCAAATCTTCCATAGCCCAAGCTCTATCCGCACACTATCAGCTGATCTCCTCAATGTTTCCCACTTCTGAATGTTCCTAACAAGCATCAACACAAGTCCCAGAACTACCCATCAAGTACATGTAGAGTAGCACAGCACTACCTCTGCACAACGTTCTCTTTTTACCAGAAATGAACTTTTTGCCTGACACCACCAATAATAAATTACAAAGTTATCAAAGTTATCAGTAACTCTCCATTACACAAGCTTGGAAACCAAAGCTTAGAATTTATCTGGATTCCTGTTGCATTCTCCTGTAATGCAGATCCTGAGTTACTGATGAGTGCCACTCAACTCTCACTGAAAACCTTTCAGAAGCTCTGCAATGATATATCTGAAAGAATTACACCTTCTGGAAGTGTGGATTTGACCTCAACTTCCTTACAGCTTCTCTAGAGACTTACACCTGCCACATGTGCCTCATCAGTAGAGAGCTTGAGAGCACATTCATACCATAGTGCACAGCTCTGTTTGGAGATCCAGAGCAATAAATTATTTGCAGAAGTACAGCCTCTATACATTTTGGTTACCGTGTGCATAGCTGCAGCAACGTGCTGGCACACCCTAGTCTACCTGAAGCCACACCTTCACATCCTCATCCTACTGTACTATGGCTTTGCTACTCCCTAATTGCAGCAAAGCTTTACAGAAATTAGTGTAGGATCTGACTAGCACTTTATAAGACATTTTTAAAGCAGACCAGAAGCTTTGCAGGGAGGACATACTGCAAGCCATGCTGGGTGGATGCATCACTGGCTGTCAGGTCTGACAACAGGCACCTGGGAAACACTGTTTGAAGAGGAATTTGGTAGGATTCTGAGCAAAGACTTTGACAAGTCTACAGGTACAGCATGTGGGAAACATGGCTCATCATGTATGGCATAAACTGTTAATAAATGCACAGATCTGTCAACTAAGAGCACAACCTCTGGGTCTTTGGACTCAAACCAGTCTCCAAATGGCAGAGCAGAGCACCTGAACATGAGGCACAATTATCCAGCTGCTTTGGTGTGGCTGCCATGGCCACACCAAATTCTGGCAAGCCCCAGTGCAGAAGGCAGTGCACTGAATGTGACAAAGTGTATTGGACGTAGACAGTGCAAGAATAGAGCTGCAGACCAGATGTGTGAGGAAGTGAAGAGCTTTAAGCACAGTGCAGGACTTGGGCAGTCAGAGAGGTTTAGTACCCCTTTTAACTGAAAATAGGAAGGCCAGAAGAATGGTAAGACAAAAAGAACAATTGCTGAAGAGCAAGTATAACCACATGCCTGGCCCCAGCTGAGGAGCAAAAGCCTCTCTGAGCAAAAGCTCTTACTGAGGGGAAGAGAGGAGGTAGGCTCCATCATTTCCTCTCACAAATAAGCTAAAAAAGGTGAAGATTTTATCTTCCCTATATTTCTAGCTGTCTACACACACACTTCTTTCAACTCAGGGCCAGCCAAATAAAGGAGATTAACACTGAGACAAGGAGGTAACAAGCACGAAGAGCTGTATAAATCCCTCCTGCACTGTACGCCAGATCTGTGATGGGACCTCCTCCCACCTCAGCACAGCCATCACAGGAGTAAACGCACAGCAGGAAGAGGCTGCAAAGGGTTATGGACACAGGTTAATCTCCACCTTAATGAAAACATGGGATGCTATTGACAGTTGCAGAGTGGGAAACCCTTGCTCCGAGATGGTCTATAAAACCTTGTAGCTGGAGTTGGACTGCAGCTGGCCGAGGTCACTCAGGTGCCAGTGGTCCAGTGTTGGGACGATCTTGGCCCCTATCTGCCCACGTACCATGCCATCCGCGAGGGGGAAGACATTCAGAGAGTTAGGACGTTCCTTCCTGCTAAACAGAGAAACAGAGAGAGAGGGAAAGCCAATCTGTTAGCTGTTTACAAGGTTCATACACAAAAGAAACTGTATGAGTATGCTATATTAGCTCATGCGAAACATTAGTCATTAGAAACTGAACTGCAGAACTGCACTCCTTCTCCCAACTCTGCAGCTGGGTGGACTCCCAAACCCACAGCTCCATGGTGCTGTTTGTTCAGACCCAGGATGTCTACTGGCAGAGCCAAGCATATCCCTAGAAAGTCAGAAGGGGTCAAGAGACCAAAACAGGCATAACTGACATCACCATCCCCACACAATGTTTCAAGGAAATGCAAAAGTGCAAGGAACTGAGCCAATTTAAACCAATGTGTCCTTTGAGAAACGGATGTACTGTGGGAAAAGAAGCCACAGCAGATAATCCCACAACAAAATGGTTATCACTGAATGAAGAAAGAGGCTGAAGTGAGTCACCTACATGCCACTTTTGTACATTCCACCCCAAACCTGGTTTGCACCAACAGCAGAAATCAATAGGTTTGAGATCATTTCCAATACTAAGCAAGAGAAGTAATACTTGCATTCTGTGATCCACTCTTCATATCTAACTACAGTCCACTCAAAATTCAGAATTTAATCAAACTTATAAATAAATGCATCACTCATAAAGCCAGATGTCTGTAATTACGTTTTCTTCAACACTTTCCTTTCTGGCAATTGCAGGTGACCAGTGAGCTGTGGATTTGATTCTGAATATGCAAGCTGGCATAGACTTTGGGACCAAGTTCCAGTAGGAAAAAATGTAGAGCAAGCAGTGGAGGTGGAAATTCAAAGAAAATGGCTTGTCAGCATGAACACTCCAGAAACAGGGCAGCAGTGAGCATCTCCTTGCAAGACACTGATCTGCTTTCCTCTCCATCAGGCTCCATGCCAGCCCACTGCAATGCTGCTCCTGGACACAGCAATCACTGTACTAAGATTCAGCTTAGCTACCACCATCACAGAGTGGGACTGGGTGACCTCCAGAGGTCCCTTCAATCCAAACTGTTCTGTGATTCTGTGGTCTTTGACCATGGGTGAAAACAACTGCAGCACCGAAGGCCACCCCAAGACCAACTCAAACACACTGACACAGGGGCAGAAAAGAGGTTATTTACAAAGTGAAAGCAAAATGTCTAACAGAATAGACAAATGCCCAGCCTGTCTGTTCTGAGCACTGTCCAGCTGACACGGCACGCTGCACTGCTGTGCCAGTGTGGCTCCTTCTTGGAGTGGCTTCTTGCTGTGGCCCATCTGGGAAAAGCAGGAGAGGCAGAAAGGAATTTTCACTGTGGTCCAGCAGAGAGTCTTGGGAAACCCTTTTCTTGAGAATCCCCATTAAAATCTTCTCCTGAAAATCCTAACGATTCACACAGGGAAATTTCATAGATAAATCCTCTTACAAAAGCAGCACATTGCTACGAAAATGATGGCCCTAAGAGCATCACACTTCACAGCTGCATTACAGCTTAAGAAAAGTTCCTATAGCTCTAAAATATTCTTAAAAAATAATTTATTTCTGCAAAACAAGGGGTGCAGTCAAAATATCTGACAGTATACTATAAATACTTCTGAGATTATACTAGTATGACCTAACATGGCCACTTAGCAGAAATAGGGGTCATCCCAAACACATGCTGACATTGATGTTATATTATACTTCCTCTTCAGGTAATCTGTCAGATCCCCACTGAATGTACACAGACTACATGAACTTTACCATCTGTGCTAACAAAGAATATGAAGTAACATCAGAAACTGTAGGATCTTCAGGAAAGTATTTTGAGACTGCGAGGAAAGCTGCATTTAAAATTTCCACTCTATGTTTCTCTGGAAATACTTTCCAGCCCCTTCTGCATCTCCCAGGGAAGAGCAAAAACTGCAGGAAAGCTGACTTCAGTTTTGCAGTCCTGATGTTGGCTTTACCAGTCCTCAAAGTAGTTCAGAATATCCTCAGGGTTGGTATAAATTTTCGGTGCTGACTACAGCCCTTTGGAGTGACTTTCATACACCCACGTCCTTCTGGTCCAGAGGGACTCTGAGCACTTGGTTAGTTCCACCTTGTGTTGCAAGGAAAACAGCAGAAGCCTCTATAATGGCTTGCAGTAGCCAAAACCTGGATCAGAATGCTCCTCCCATAATACCTTAAAGCTTAGAAAATGTAACAGAACTACTAGGTTTGCCATCATTGCAAGATGGTAACTGACCTCTTTGTAGGCTGAGGGTGCAGAACTCACTGCCTCGCCCAAAGTCAGATGTGCTTTCTGACAGTTACTGGTGACATGCATTCCCTGCCCTGCTTAGAAAATATGCCTATTTTGTACTCCTATAGGAAGTGTTCAAGAAGCACGTAGATGCAGTAGGAAGGGATGTGGTTTAGAAGGGAAATATTGGTGGTAGGTGGACAGTTGGATTGGATGATTGGAGGCCTTTTCCAGCCTTGGTGATTCCATGATTCTAATTTAAGGGAGAAAAGACAACTTTTTAAAATATTCTGGAAAGTGAAGTGCAGAAGTCCACTCACACAGGGATGATCCTGGTTTGGGACCCAACCCCTGCACCTTCTGCTTTTGAGAGCACAAGCTCCTTCCTGATGTAGCAGCTTGCTGGCTCCCCCTGCACCAGCCAGGGGAAGTGTGCCATGTGTGAGTGAGTCTAATGCAGATGTTGTACACAAAGAGGGTAAACAGGCCTTTCAGCATCACACCATGGCCACCCAACAGCAACCTCCAAAAACTATGATTAACAAAGTTAAGATGCAGCAGTAGGATTTACCTTTTCCTCCATGACTGGCGATGACTGCAGCGACAAACGTAACAGCCAAAACAGAGCAGCAATTGCACAAAAAGCAAGACAGAAAAAAAAAACAACAACAACTATTAGAGAATGAAGGTCATGCAAACATGCAGCCTATCAGAGACAGCATATGCATGCATTTTTATTCTTACTACTTGAAGGTGTGCACTATACTCGTCTCCCTACTCAGATGGCAGCAGACACAAACATACCCAGCATTTCTTGCACCATCTTCTCTCAAGTGACAAACAAGCATACTTGGTGTATTTATGGTCTTATGCAAATATGTACCTACATAGTCTACCATATAAAACACACCCAAGCACATCCACAGGTGAAAATAACCAAATGCACTCACAAACACCTAGGAAGACATTGAGAGATTACAGCCATATCCCCCCCAAGACACATCAGTGTACCAACTCACAAATGTTGGTGTTCACCCACACACAGCTTGCAGAGACACAAGAACACACATCCCTCAAAGGCACAAGCATCCACAAACACAGCACACACGAACAGAGCAAAGCTTGAAATGAAGGAAAAAGACCCACTTCCCAGTTGTTGTTTCTACAGACTCAGATGGAGGCCTGGCAGGGGCTGTGACAGACACAGAGAGCTGCTCTATTTGTTCATTCTTCCAGGAACTAGCAATATGTATATGTAGAAGTGTTCCTCCAACACAGAGACAATGCTCAGTGAAAGTTTTGTCCTTCACACCAGAGAATGGTGGTCTTACAGATAATAACAGAGTAAACACTTCTCACTGTGTATTTCCTTCACTGAACGGTAGCAAAAAGCCACCATTAATTTTAGCTTTTTTCACAACTAGAGAAAACTCATCAAAACCAATTTCTACTAAGCAGTCCATTCCAAATTTGGCAGTTGCATACGTCAAGCAGGGAGGGAGGCCAAGCCTTCTTTTGCCTGCAGTACTTTCATATTCTACCATCTAAGTTATTGCAGATACATCCTTATTTACAGAAGATAACTGGGGAGGGAAACAAGCCCAACACACTCCAACCATTACAGCTGCGACCAGGATCAGTTTGTGGCAGAGGAGAAGGAAAACAGAAATAGCCTGTTGATGGAGCTGTCAGGAACACGTGCTCTCACAATCCTAAGAACAACCTACAACCTACTGGTTCTTTTCACACCATATCTTCTCTTTCCATACCCATCATACCTGCCTCTGTTTGCCTAGGGAGGCCACCATCTAGCTTCTGCTCTTTTTTCCCTGTGTAATTTTGAATATATGTCCACTGTTACACTGGAAAAGCATCACCTTCAGATGGGAAGGGGCCAGAATGCCAGACTCCAAACACTATATCCTGTAATCAGTTTTATTCTTCTAAGCCACTCTCTGACATGATATTAATTTACTGTTTTGCAGAAAACATAGCACTGAGGACTTACTATTCAGCCCACTTTACAACTACCACAACTTTAGTTATTGTTCTCAATAGAACAATAACAAGAACAAATACATTAAGATAATCTTTCCTGAAAGGACTACTCAGCCATCAGAAGAGGAAGAGTAAATTAACTGTGGTTTCCCCTCCCTGTGAGATTATAAATGTCTTGTCAATCAATTCAGTGTAAATGAAGGATCCTTCTGACACTACTATCTTCCAGCTGTATGCTGGTATTGTAGCTAAGGCTACAAGTATCTTTAATTATTATGGGATGCAATAAAAGAGTAAATAAAAACAATTTTGCTATTTGCTTTTTTTTTCTTAATTTTTTAAACTCTGAAAGAGCACAGGTTGCACAGCAGTTGCTTCTGACTTAAGTGCAACTGTTCATTTTGGAAAGATAGATTCACAGAGGATCACCAGCTCTAAAGTTTTGAAATGCTTGGGATTTCTATGGCTATGGAAGGAGCTCAGCCAGATCACAATGCTCCTGTTCCAGTTCCTTTTAGATCTGATACAGATCCATACTGTCCATCAGAGAGTGTATGTGGGAGAAAACCTAGATAAGCCTCTCTGCCTCTTGAGATTAGGATACAACTGCTAAAACTGCTATATTGCTGCCCCTGAAATGTTGCTGAATATTTTCTGTGGCAGGAGAGCTGAGCTGCTCCCTGCAGAACAAAAGAAACAGGAGCACACACTGACACTTCGCTTCCAGCTATTCTGCACCCTGCCAGCTCAGCAGCTCACAGTTTCCCCCATTCCCAGCTGAGACATGGAGATGGCAACAAGAGATAAATGCATACATGAGCATAGCTATTCTTTCTACAAACATCCATACCTTTCAGATAGGTGGAGGAGGTGAGTTGGACTGACCAAAACCTAGTCTACTCTGTTTCTCCTCTACCATGGGCGTACAAAGTCATCTGACAGCAGAGGCACACAGCTCAGCAGAAGACTCAAATGTGGATGCTCTGCAGTTACTGAGCCCATTTTTCTTCAGCATCCTCCCTTCCTTCTAACACTATGATGTTATGTTACCAACAGCTGTGAACAAAACTCCTGTTCCCCCCACCAGCCCTGTGTGCACACCAGTATGCCACCAGTACAGAACCAGAGGCTGATCCTCCCACCTTCCTCTCACACAATGATGCTCTGGCACTGGTTGGGGACGGAATATCATGTTCGTAAGGAATCAGGCAGAACTCCCACCCTCTTCTGAAAACTCATGTTTTCTACTTCTCCCTCTCCACATCTTTCAAGCCTCCCTCCTGGGGATAGGAAATCATGTCTCTCTTGCTCTCTCCTTTTCTTTTCTACAGTACACAGTCAAAACTTTGACAATCTGAATTTCTTTCCAGGCACTCCAATCCAGCAAAAGGAAGCCACAGTTTCCAGAGAGCTTATATTTCTTATTTCAAGACCTGACACTTCCTTCCACTTTCTTTATCCCAAACCCAATGGACACCCTAGTATTTAAATGTTACAGATCTAAACATAGTGTACTAAAATACCCTTATTCTTCCTTTTTTCTAAACATATTTCTTTTTTTCTTCATTTGAAATAATCTTTTTATATGGCTTAATAGATTGTGCTCAGTCTAAATAGATCTATACGACGCTTTATTTGATTTATTACTTCTCCAATTGGTACTTATGGAACACCACTTTTTTTTCTTTCACAGCCTATGGGCAATATCATTGGTCCATATAACGTATCTGTAATGAAATGATTGCAATTGGAACTTTTGTGCTTTAAATTTAGTCTAAGGCTCCATGCTTTTATATACTAAATTTCATTTTGTACTACTGCCATTCTTTTAAACAGAAGCTAGTTCTTACCAGTTTGGTGCTATGAAAACAGAGGGGAAAAAAAAATCATTTCTTGGGCATAAGTAAGTCTACTGAGTGACTGACTCAGAGAAATCTTCTCTTGAAGAAATTGGGGAAGAAGTTATATAAAAGCTAATGCATTTAACTTCTCCAGTTTTGCTGGCCATCACACATACACACAGACACATACACAAGTGAACGCTCTCTTCCACCTCCATCCATTTTATAGGTAAGTCTTTTACATGCTATCTGAGAATACAAACATCGCTTTCGAGAAGACCCCCATCTGCAGCAGCACCATAAAATCTAAGCTTTATAACAAAATACACAAAACTCCTCTCTGTCAAACCTTAGAGAACTTACCTACAACTCACCCTCAACCCATTACAAAAAGCTTCAGGTATAATCCATTCCCAAAAGGGAAATAATTCCCAAAAGGAAAGATCCTCTGTCTGGTTTCTTTCTCTCACAAATATGCGCTCATTTTGTAAGTTCCTGGATGGCAAATATTATATAGAGAGGTTATGGTCCTACCTTCTCCCAGGTACACTGCCCTCAGTTTGATTATTTCCCCCAACCTGCTGCATTTTGGATCGTTCAATGTGTTCCACGTAGGTCTGAATCATCTGTGAGGAGGAAAACATACATGAGCCAAACAGAAAAGATTCTATAGGACTCAATCGTTATGTGTCCCTTCCAACTTGGGATATTCTGTGATTCTTGTTTTTTGAATACTGTTTTCCAGCATTCATTTGCAATTTTCCTTTCTCTTTAAAAAAAAAATATATGTATAAAAAACCACTCATCTTTGCTTTTTTTTTTAACCTTAAGCCATGAAAAAGCATATCCAACAATTATATAGGTCTCCATGAGGCTGGTTAGTTGCAGAAGGTGAGGGAGGAGAGCTCTGTTCACAGAATTACTGACTGGTGAGGTTGGAAGGGAACTCTGGAGGTCATCTTGTCCAATGCTCCTATTTAGGCAGGGCCACCCAAGGCACGGTCACAAAGGAGCATGCCAGACAGCTTGTGAATACCCCAATTAAGGAGATTCCACAATCTCCTTACACAACCTGTGCCAGCACTCGGTCACCTGAACACAGAGAAGTGCTATTTGATATTCAGACAGAACCTTCTATGCCCTCTGACTCTTGTACTGGCATTGGGCACCACCGAAAAGAGCATGGCTTCATCCTCTTCGCACCCTCCCTTCAGATAATTTTGATGTTCTCAAAGTTCAGAAGCTCTAGTCACTGCCAGGATGATAAAACTGAATCCTCTGACATGATTTTATGAGTAAACTAAGAGTTTATTTATTCGGAAGGAATCAGACAAAAGCTTACCTCTGTGTGACGCTGATGTAAAGCATTGTACTCTTTCTTCATTTCTGATTCACGTTCCTCCAGCCGTGAAACTGCCAAGAAAAGATTCCAACCATTAGCTAACATACAGATTAAGATCCTCAAAGGATCTAGAGAAATCTCAAAACTTGTACCACAAAATAGGTATGCTCTGCTGAAAATGAATTCCTACCTACTGAACTAAAAGAAACACAACAATGCACAGTAGAGTATGTGGTTTTCTTTACAAAGTCTCTTCATGGATGCAAGCACATTCCCAAAACAGGTAGAACAGGTGCTGCAAGACAAGTGTAAAAATAGAGCTCTTGAACCTGGTGCCTTATAAGTGTGGTGGTTTGACAACAATTTAAGTTATCCTTTTGGGGTGGGTGACTCTGGCTGTTTCAGGAGGAGTGTTAGATAGAACATGATGGGAACCTTAACCAACAAAGTGCAGTTACACTTATTAAGGAAATATTTGCATAAACAAATGCTTAAATGTGATTCGTTTACATGATGAAAAACAGGGGAGGTTCTATTCAGGTACAAGGAGAAACTAAAAACCAGGTATCAAAACCTTCAGCAATGGTCCAGACCTTACAGGTGGGGAGACTAGACATGCTCCATGCAAGAGACACAACAAAACCTGTACCAAACTAGTGTGGATACATCCCACCCTGTAGATGGCTCAGAATTTTATAAAAAAAAAAAAAGGGACAGCCAGAGATTTAAGGCTTTGCATAAATTACATAAAAACAATTGACAAAAAAACAACACAAATGAAAAATATCTGCAAGTATATACTCGTGGAAAGCAATTTATATAATCATAACTGGTGCACAACTTTGCTTACTCTGATCTGCATAGTTTTTGGTCTTCAGCTCCAGCTGTCGAGTCTGAAATTCAAGGTGTTCCACTTGGATTTGTAGCTCTTTCTTCTCCTGTTCCAGTGCATCTTCAAACTCTATAAACTTCTGGACAGGGAAAAACCAGAGAAGGAAGCAAGGATGAGGAATAAACAAAGTGTTTGTGCAATCTGACTTTTCCCTTCCTCTCCTCCCATATTGTGGTGGATACATATATACACAAAAAGCAAGAGATGAGAATTTTCATGTGCTTTAAGTAGTATAACAGCATTTAATCAAGCTAGAAATAGTATCTTATAAAACAAAGTAAAAGATGTATTCTGTGTATCATTAAGATGTAAGTTACTGTCCAAAGCAAATTATGTAAACCAATATGATTCTATCATCTTCAGCAACATCTTTATTCGTCATGCTAGGCTGAATTGGGATTCCTGTTAGTTTTATGTCAGAAAAGACAAATTTTGTGCCTACAGTCATGCATTTAGAAGCACCTATGACAGAAATCTCCTTCAGACATCAGACAACTTCCACTATAAATGATGTTGCATGTAAAGAAACGTACAAGTCTTGTGGAAAACCTATCCACAACCATCAGACATCACAGTCACCTTTGCAATCCACTTCCCAGATCTTCAACCAGAGGTTAGGGAACAGGCATACATCAAATAAGGGATAGAGAGCTACATGACAAAAAACAGAGTAAACTTTGAAAGAGATGATTCTGTAAGGATTGCACTTCTAACTCCTGAGTTGCTGAGAAAAACTCGAGTCTTACTTTCTCAGTTCTGTAAGTTGAGTTACGCCTCAATCAGCGCAGAAAGGAAGCAGGGGCTGATGAGACCTCGCAGGAAGGCAATCCCAGCCAGTCTTCTCTGGACATCAGTAAATTCACCTCAACAATGAAATATTTCTTATTGCTACAAACCTGTATCTATAGAAACGCATACACGTATTTTGGCTACGCCTCATTTTCCTGCACTCTGCACTTTCAATCTTTAATGGAGCATTTAATTTTCTTTTCCATTCTGCCCTGATGAATCACAATACCCCTTTTTTCATTAAATTTTGAGGCTGTAGAAAATTTTAGATTTTTTTTTCTCTGAAATGTCAATTCAACATGGAAACCACACAGTCACTAACAAGCAAACCACTTTATAGACTCTGAGAAAGGCAGACTTATTCTTGAAATTCTTATTCGCCAACTGGAGTAACGTGCCCAGGTCTGGGGCCCCCAGTTCAAGAAAGACAGAGAGCTGTGGTCCAGAGGAGGGACACAAAGATGATCAGAGGGCTGGAGCACCTCCACTACAAAGACAGGCTGAGGGAGCTGGGCTTGTTCAGCCTGGAGAAAAGGAGGCTGCAGGGTGACTTCACTGCAGCCTTTCAGTACCTAAAGGGAGCCTGCAAACAGGAGGGGAATCAACTCTTTGATAGGGTAGATAACAGGAGGACAAGGGGAAATGGTTTGAAGTTGAAGGAGAGAAGATTGAGGTTGGATGTCAGGGGGAAGTTCTTTACTAAGAGCGGTGAGGTGCTGGAACAGCTGCCCAGAGGGGCTGTGGATGCCCCGTCCATCCCTGGAGGTGTTCAAGGCAGATTGGATGGGGCCCTGGGCAGCCTGGGCTGGTATGAAATGTGGAGGTTGATGGCCCTGCATGCAGCAGGGGGTTGGGAAGGGGACTGGAATTCAGAGTTTTATGATCCTTGAGGTCCCTTCCAACCCAGGCCATTCTGTGATATGTTTTCCAGAATAACTGTGTCATTCAACTCTGACTAAAAAAAGAAAAAAAAAGTTCTAACCAAAATAGCCACAATGACCAGCAGACCTAAAGAAACCACTTAACTTTGTTTGGACTGGTTAGTAGAAGCTATACTAAGAAGTATTTTCCTCTGCCTCCTCTCAGGGATTTGCTGGAAGTGCTCCACACTAATGCTCTGTTGACAAACTTCTAATTACAGCCAACTGCTAAATCCCTGTCGCATCTCACTTGCCTGGCTTTCACTCTTGCACAGCTTTCTTGGCTCGAGGTGCCCATCTTTCCCCAGTTCCTCACCCAGGAATGAGCCACCCAGACAGTCAGGAATTATGCTTATAGTAGCCAGAAACATTAACTGACTTTAAGGAAAACATTCAAACAGTAAAATAGGAAGCAAAAGAAGGCAGGAGACCAATTTTATTCCCACCATGTAGGTCAACTTTAATAGGATTCCTGGATTTGCTGCTGCTGCTTGGGCTTAGTTTAGAGAAACTGATTAGAAGATTAAATGTCCCACAATAAAGCTCTTCTTACTCAGTCCTGTCTGTCTTGCAATCTCAAAGTAATCAAAGAAACAGAAAACTAGAAATCAGCTAACCACTTGGAGAAGAAACAGAGACAGCAATATTAAAAATTAATGCCACTCTAAGTGCTCTCAGGGAAGAACAACATCTCAGGTAAGTGAACTGCAGCATATCCTGTTCTGTCTCCTAAAGAGATCGAACACCAGCTCTTGGGCACAGGGACCCAAACGCTCCGTACTCTGTCTGGCTCCAAAGCACTTTTTAGCTGTTCCTGCATCAGAACCTCTCAGCCAGTGTCTCACTGTGCATCAGAAAGTCAAGACAAGTGAATAAAGTGGGTGCTGTGGGAGTGGCCGCCCAGCAAGCACAGGGACATGGAGGAATTGTTCTTTAAGGAACAAAGAGAGACCTATAGATCAGCCACCCTGGTCCTTATGGGTGACTTCAGCTTGCCAGATGGTAACTGACAATACCACACAGCTGATACAAACAGCCAGGAGATGCCTAAATCTGGGTGGTGTGGTCTCCCAGGGGGATCGTGAAAAATTGGAGGGATGAACAATCACCAACACCATGAAGTCTAACAAGAGCCAAGCACTAGAGACTGCTTTGAGACAAGGCAGCCCTGGCTCTGTGCACAGACTGGGAGACAAGCAGCCCCACAGAAGGGGATCTGGGGGTTTGATGACAGCAAGTTGATGATCTTTGTGGGCCTCCTCCAACTCCAACAAAGGAATCAGGAATTTTGGTTGCTTTTTATTAACCTGACTCTGAGGCAGTTGTGCTAAGTTTTAAAGCATACTGTTGAGTGAATGCAGCTCAGTAAATCCACGTACATTTCACATTTTCCATTTCTTTCATTACACAGAATGGCCAGGGATGGAAGGGACCTCACGAATCATGAACCTCCAACCCCCCTGCCATATGCAGGGCCATTAACCTCCCCATTTAATACCAGACTACATTAACACATAGTGTACAACCCTGATTGTACTGGAGCTGTGGGAAAGTTCTCACTAACTCAAACAAAAGAAAAATTTCACCCTTTCTAAGCCCTCTGAAAATGAACAGGCAGAGGAGACACTGATTCAAAAGTCATCTTTTTTCCATGCGTACATTCACAGATAGCACCAAAAGCAGGCATCACAGAAAAATTCTTCTTCTGTTTTACTCTGGTTTATTTTACTCTGTTTTTTCCCTTTAACACTGTGCACTGTCAGTCCTACCTAGATGCTGCAATCGGATGCAGAAAGATGAAGCTGCACACCTCCTGTTGCTGAATTAAAATCAGTAAGGCTTTGTGTAAGGCTTCACCAAGGGCAGATCATGCCTGACCAATCTGGTGGACTTCCATGACAGACTGATGGCATCACCAGACAGAAAAGCAAATGATCTACCTGGACTTCTGCAAGGCCTCTGACATGGTATCACATCACATTCTCATCTCTAAGTTGGAGGAATATAAATCTGAAGGGTAGACTATTCAGTGGATAAAGGATTGCTTAGATGGTCACAGCCAGAGGGTTGTGGCCAATGGCTCTATGTCCAGGTGGAGGACATCACAAGAGGCATCCCTCAGGAGTATGTCTTGAAACATCTTTATCAATGACATAGACAAGGATTAAGTGCACCCTCAGCAAGTTTGCTGATACCATTATGTTGAATGAGTGCAGTTGATAAGATAGAAGGACCTGGACAGGCTTGAGAAGCGGGGCCACATGAACATAATGAGGTTCAACAATGCCAAATGTGGGGTGCTGCATTTGGGTTGGGGCAATCCCTGGCAAGAGTACAGCCCAGGAGAAGAATTCACAGAGAGCAGTGAGTGCTGCATTTGCTGACTGCCTTCTTTCACTTTACCACTGCCTAGAGAAAAAAAACACAGTGCTGGGCTTAACTTCATGCTTGGAGGTGTACTGGAAATCAAGAGGTATCTCATGTGCAGGGGCAGATGCTCTGGTTGATTTTCTTCAGTTATCTCACTGCTCAGACCAACACCTCAATGATTTCACAGCTCCTATCTTTATTTTTATGGAGATGTAGCAAAGATTTTTAGAAAACAAATTAAATGTAACAGAAAATTCCAATGATGTTTAAAGGGAAAACATTCCTTTTTTTTATCCCATTACAATAAAATAGATGGGTGAACTGGAAGAACAAGCAGCCCACTCCCAGCTGTTCTGGATAGCAAAGCTGACCACAGCATTACTATTTTTTCCCGAACTCTTATACTTGCTTTCAAAGGATAATTTTTCAGCAGTTACAGGAACCAGATATTTTTAAACAATTATTAAGAAAGCTGAAACATTAGTCTTGCTAGAGTCTCTCCCTGGATTTCAAGCAGGATAACTGGTCTCTAACAACTCAGGATTAGGTTACAACAACCAGCATGACTCACACGCTCATCATTAAACACCAAACATCTAGCATAAAAATCATCTTAAGTGAAGGAATGAGTATTCCTCTGAAAAGCAGTGGTACACTGGAGATTGCTTAGCTTCCTGCATTTCTGGCTTTCAGAGGAAGAAAATGACTAAAAATAGTAGCAAGCAGTAGCACGCAGTCAGAAATCATCATATCATATTAACAATAAATCAAGCAGAGTGAGCTAGATATGCATATAGGCGGAAATCTTATTCCAAGGCCTTAATCGGGGCTGGCTGACAGCACACAGTGCATGCCAACAGGAACAGCAGCAGCTCAGCCAGCATCACCCTCGTGCTGGGCAGAGCAGTGCTGCGGTGCAGTGCAGAACAACAACGATACACAGCTGGATACACGGCTGCCTGTGAGGAGGGGGCTGAATGCAGGGCAGTGAGGTCTCACA